TAATCTTGTTTTGCAGCTTCAACAGATGATGCAGCAGAATCTCCATTGAGGGTAGAATCTCCCATATTGATCCACGTTTTCCATCCTTGGCTTGGCTTTCCATGCGCAGTGTTAACTCTTGGAATGGTTTCAATAAAGCTAGAATACGTGTAAGCTGATCCCAGTCATCCCGTGTCAGTTGATCTTGAGCTATGTCTTTGTCGAAACTTCTTGCTGCAAAGAGATCTATTGGATCCTTCAAACGCATAGCCCGCTCAATCATGCTGTATGTTGAATTCCAGCGTGTGGCATTATCCGCAACAACCATCAGCTGCTCAATTTCCAATCCTTCTTGCCGTTGGATTCGGAAAAACTCCTCTTGCCGTTGGGGCGTTCTGCGTATATGGTGAACAGTGTTGTGAAGTTTACCAACTGGACCTTTATGCCGCCAAAGTTCAAGTTCACGCTGCTCGTTTGATAACAGATGAGCTGCAGAGACATCGATTTCAAATGATTCTGCATCTGTACCAAAGAGAAAAGCTTTGACGACTAAGTTTAGCACATGCCCTGTACAGCGTAAACGTCGAGCTTTTTGCTGACTGACCAAGCCATCAGCTAACTCAAGCTTTTGGCAGACGGATAATACGCAAACATCATTGGAAGATGCTTTATCAAGCATAAAGTAACCAATCTTCGACCGTAGTGAATACTCATCAATAACTGACAGTACTGCTTCTGCCATATTCTTGCCAGTGTGCTACCCACGTAAACGTTGCAAACCTAGCAAAGCTGATTGTGTTGTGGTTCCGTTAATCCAGTGGCCCACACAAGAAGAGCAAGGAAATTTGTTGATGTCCACATGTCAAAACTTAGATGAACTTGACCTTCGTAGTTTGCAAACATTGTCTGGACATGAGTTTTTTGTGTTTGAAACTCTTTCATAACCCAGCCTCAAATGGTGTTATGAGAACGTGGTAAAAGATCTCCTAATACTGCATTACAGTATACTAGTAGCTCACGGAACTGCTCGTGTTCTACTTCTGAAAATCTGACGTTTGTGCACACTATCCATCGCAGTAATAAGGTCTTAAATTTTGCGAAATCGATCGTTGATACTACACTATAAGCTGCAGCTCGCTGCTGTTGAAGCACAGATCGAGGTCGAGAACTAGATGTACCATCCTTGGATTTACCGTGGAAATGAATCATGTGGTTCATTGCATGTGTAGTTGTCCTTGACGAGTATGTCTTTGTAACCCTCTTATTATAGCACAACTGGCATAACCAGAATGGTGTGTCATCACGGACCCGGATGATCTCCTGGCCATGCTGCCAAACCCACGAGGTATTTGGACGTTTCCCAGGTGGTGCAGAGCGAAATCCAGCTGGCAAACTTATAGCTGTCAGTGCTAGGCCGCTGGAATCAGGTAAACTCTCTGGCGGTATATGTGGTGTGCTGTGGAATGATCCATCTGATGGGTTGGATGAGTAGAGCTGTTCAAGCTCAAAGTCAGATAAGCCCCCTAGAATGCTTTGCGCATCAGAGAGTTGTGGAGAGTTATCAGTCATAATGGTGTAAATGAAGTAGTAAGATTGAAGACCAGAGAAGAAGCCGACCTTGAATTTAACATGTAGGAAATGGCGGTGAAGCCCTGGTTCACAGTAACGGGATTTCACCAATCACGATCTCAGAATAAAGCAGACGGTCTATTTGGTCTGTCGACTGGTAGACTGTCGGCAGACCAAACAGACAGTCTGTCGACTTGCAGACGGTCTGTTTGGTCTGCTGACATGAGAACCTCTCGTCAGTCGGTCTGGCTAAGATTTTGAGGCGGTCTGGTCGGTCTATTTAGACCGACCGAGCAGACCGTCTATTTAGGTCGGTCTATTGCCAACACTGCTCACACCTTACACACATTTTACAGCCATATAAGCACTGGCACCGAGAGGCTGTGCTCTATGCCATACGGAATATGGACGTTACATACGACCTACCCTCATTTATGAGAGATCTCACCAAAATCCGGGAACAGACTTTTAAGGAGTCTACAATACTCTCAGCTTTCCGGAAAGCTGGAATCTGGCCAATAAGCTGTAATACAGCCCTCACGAACGTACATACTCGCTGCCTACTACCCAGCCTACAGAAGAGCCTACACCTACCTTACCAATACGGCCTATTACCCCTAAACCCTCCACTTTTCAGGGGGTTGAAGAAGGGCTACAGCGCTGGAAAGACCGGGTTCCGGAGGCCTTTAGTAGCCCCTCACATACGAGCTATACGAACTGGCTTACTGGGGCTCAAGAGGTTATGGCGGTAGGCCGGCTTCAAGAACTTGACCTACGGGTGGCTCGGCGGAAGTGGAGGAGTCGAAGAAGTGGGCGAGCCGAAGCCGGGCCCGGCTTCAGAACGGAGGTGAGCTCGTAGCTACCGAAGCCCACGAGCTTCGGGCCCGGAAAGCCAAGCTTCTAGCCCAGAACCTCGCAGCCAAAGAAGCCCGGGAGGCTCGCCAGGCTAGAAACCAGGCCCAGAAGCAGCTCAACCAGGCTGGAATTAAGGCCCGGAAAGAAGAGCGTTTCCAGAAGAAGAGCCTGGCTACTCTTCAGGGATTAGGCCTCCCAATTCCTCCGGAATTAGAGGTCCCAATTCCTGATCCAGAAACCCTCGAAAGTGAGGGCGAATATGAGAATGGGAGTGGGAATGGGAGCGGGAATGGGAGTGATCATGGGAATGAGGAAATGATAATTTTTTAAAATGGTGAAATTTTGTACCTTTACATACAATTTACTATAGGGAGGTACTTAGGACTACAATTTTTCTCGTGCGCGCACTTCGCTTCCCCTCCATTTCTCGTGCACGCGGATCGCTTCCTCCAACCTTAAGCGAAGAGAAAAGTTGGTTACGACGGTTATTGATTCAGGAAGCAGGAGGGGGGCTGAGGTATATATTAAAAAATAAAAATAAAAATATTATGTATAATTTATTACAATAACGTACATGTATAGCGAAAGCGCCAAACAAGCGAAAGCGCCAAAATTATCTACCCTCACGACAAACATTGCGATAAATCTACCACAACATTAGAAATCAATTGAAACTACTCGGAGTCCTCTTCCTCAGAGGTGTCTATTACAATCTGACACGTGCGCGCATTGTGCCCAGTCTCACCACACTTGCCACAGCGACGGGCACGGGTTTCTTCCCTTGGCTTCCGACCACGGCTTGCCCTTATTTCCTGCTCTACCTGCTGCACAACATCCCTCTCATCCTGTAGCTCTTGCGCCCCTTGTTGACTAAGTGATCCTCCTTGCTGTAGTCGTGTCTTCCTAGCTCTCCGGCGCTTGCTTAGTACTTCATTTGCCTGTCGTAGGTTTTGGTTCTCTCCCTTTAGCAGTGCTAATTGATGCATTATTTGCGATGCACCCTTTGTAAACTGGTCAACAGCTGCATAGATTGAGGTTGGAGAGCTATTTTGATGGCGTGAAATCCGAGTTTTAATAAATGTAGACTGTGACATAGCTTCAATTGGGTTGTTTGGTGTCTGAGAAACCCAAGGTTGAGCAGTACCTGGGCGGGAGCTTGGAGGCGTTGGTGTCCTTAACTTAAGATCAAGTGTAGATATCACTCTCTCAGGGTCAAATGGAAGAAGCCCTGCCCCTCGGAACCCGCCTCAAATGTTACTTTCCGTCATTGTAGTGTTAAATGCAGCGTGGAAGGCAGGAAAGAAGTCATCCTTTGTAATATGAGAAATATGAGCCTGCATCATATCTTCAATTTGCCGACCATAGGCCTGCTTTAACGGGCCGAAACAGCCAACATCAAGTGGCTGGAGTAGATGAGAAGAGTGAGCAGGCATACAAAGCGTAATAATGTTGTGTTCCTTGCAGTACTCCTCAAACTCATCTGAGTGGTGGCTCTCATGACCATCAAGGACTAACAAGCGATAACCACCAACACTCCGGGCCTTTGTATGCTTCTCAAAGTGCTGAATCCAATCCATGCCTCTCTCGTTTGTAGTCCAGCCATTTTCAGTAACAGAAATCACCCAATCGCTTGAAAATCCACTATTCTCATACCAAGATGTAAGGTGGTTTTTGCCTGCAACAATGATAAATGGTGGTACTGCCCAACCTTGAGAACTAACGCCTTGGATTACTGTAACCCATTCCCGATTACCAGGCTGTACCTTCTTTGCTTTTGCCCGCCCGTCTGAGCTTGTTACAACCATAGCAGTTGAGATAACGCCCATCATAAACCCAGTCTCATCAAAGTTGTAGATATCTGCTTCATCGATACCATATTTCGCAATTGTGTTACGCACAAGCTCAAACCAGCCATTAATAACTTCTGGATCTTCGCACTTAGCCCTCTGGTAGTAGTATTTGCGCTGAAAGCGTGTCTGGAGCTCTACACGCCGCTTAACAAAGTTTGAAGCCCAACGCGACCCAACGCGTGACGCGTCGCGTGTTGCAAGTAGTCGACTTGCCATATCTTCAACAACAGACAGCCGAGGAGGAAACCCTTTGGCAGCTAGGTCGAGTATATACTGAACAAGGACGGACTCCTCTAGGTTAGTTAATTTCTGTGAGTTGGCTTGGATATCGCGTCGTGAAGGTACACCTTCTAGACGACGACCTAGCTTGCGGTGGTCCACAGAATAGATCCTAGCAGCAACTTGAAGGCGTAACTTTGGGTCGCTTTGCATAGCCTGGATAGCTAGCACTAATTGGCTTTCATCGTTTTTATGGGGCATGTTTTGTTGTTGAGGAATTTAACATTTAGTTGGGGGGTTTGGTCACCGCATCATTTTGGCGCTTTCGCTTGTTTGGCGCTTTCGCTATACATGTACGTTACCTATATAAGAAAAGAAAGGAGTACATTTTACTATTTAGGCCCTAATCTATATATTTAATAAAAAATATAAGTCTAACCTTACACCCGTTTTCACCCTTTATAAGTTCCCCCTAATTACTACTCTTATAAAGAAACCTCTTATCCCCTTTAGCTCTAATAGATAAACTCACTTATTCTGCATCTTCCTCATCATCTCCGCCGCCTCAAATGCATACTTACACTTCATCCTCAACGCAGCTCCATACCTATACATCACTAGCGGAAACGATAAGCATAATAGCGTTAAGAACGCCGGCACAGACGTCGCCCAATGAATCCCCAACCGCTCATACATCTGCGTCGTGAACAACGGAAACACCGCGCCCACTACCGATCGAAAGATCGCCGCCGCAGCAAGCACGGATGCAACGTAGATGATATACGAATCAATGAGGTAGTTCAAGATGGGCAGGATGAGGAGCACGCAGCCAATGCCAAACGGCGCAGATAGCACGATACTAACCGCCCAGTGGATTTCCGGGCCGTTCGTCCAGGCGAACGCGAACATGCCGATGGGGATGGCGAGCCCGCCCACAATCGCAGGCGGGAGGCACGATTCAGCGGTTGCGGACTTGGCATGGGAGAGCCGCGCGTAGCAGGTGTTATTGTCATAGATGGCGTAGGCAAGGCCGAGGACGATGCCAATGGCGATGCCGGTGAAAGTGAGGCCGCCGATGCCTTCGGACCAGCCGTGGGTGGAATTGTAGACGATGGGCATGGCACCCATGAAGAGGTAGATGGTGCCGTAGATGAGGGCCATGTAGAGGGAGGCGATGAGGACGATGGGCTCGAGGAAGAGGAGGACCCAGGGGCGGAAGAGAGCGCAGGCGAAGACTTCGGAGGGGAGCTTTTTGCCTTGGCTCTTTTCTAGGATGCTAATGTAGATTTTATTGGGGTCGTCTTTCAAGAGGGCTATTACTTTGCGGGTGAGGAGGACAGGGCCGTAGGTTTCAGGGACAAAGATGGCACCGGGGATGCCTACGTCTTGTTAGTTTTGGGTCCACTATGTCCAGCAGGACATAGTAAGGGCAAGATAATCACCTATCACCCCAATAAATATACAACACACCCCCTGCACCCACCTCCACCCCACATTCTCCGCTACGAACCCGCCTACTACAGGCCCTAGGATCGGCCCTAAAAATGGCGCCACACAATACAGTGTCATCGCCAACCCTCTCTGCGCGGGCACGAAGAGATCCGCGATTGCGCCACCCGAGTTGACAAGCGGCGAGCCCCCAAAGGTGCCGGCAAAGAATCGCAATACCATGAGGGTTGTGACGTTCCGGCTAGCCGCGGAGCCGCCGAGAAAGGCGACCATGGCGATGTGGGAGGTGAACCAGAGGATTTGTCGCCCGTAGAGCTCAGACCTGGGGGGTTAGTATGGAATTGATTTGGTGATGATACGTAGGTGTGGATACGGATAGATGGTGTACTTACTGAAGATTGTCAGCTTGTGTCTGAAGGGGTGGGCACATATTATATTAAACTTACCAAAGGACCCCAAACAGCAGGCCCAATCGCAAACCCAAGCACAAAGACCAAAACGCCTATAATAAACACCTCAGCGCTGATGTCAAAATCAGCAATGACCTCGTTCGCCGATTCGGCATATGCGGACGATGTGAGCATGACAGTGTTAGAGGTGATTGCGGAAAGTGGGAATTACACACGGATTTGTATGGTAATCCCCAACCACCGTAATTGATTCCTTGCGGGTAACGGAGCAGAAGCTTCACAGTAGAACACGGTAAATACAGTATATAGATCAAAATTAATTACTACCTAATCTACGGGCCTACGTACGCTATTTGTAGCCCCGGGGGAAACCCCCAAAACCCTGACGAGCTGAGCTTTCCGGACTTCAGCTGGGTTTGGATCAGTGGCTTCCAATAGTATGGCGCCACTGTCTCACCCGTAAACTAAACTGGGAGTTGGATGATCCCACGGGGATAACCCGTTATGTTGGGTGTAAAAACCCACTGTTTCCCAGCGGGAAAGTCCGTTTCCCTCAACAGACGGCGAAGACGGACAGGGTCACGATGGCTGTGATGAACCATTTCCGAGGCGTGGACCAGTTCATGGGGTTCGTGGGGTCAGAGGGCTGGAATTTAACTAGTGTGCGTCATGGGTAATCGGTGGTTGCAAACCGCCGGTCTGAAGATTTTCCAACCCAGACCACGGTCTGGGTTGGAAATACTGAAGAAACCGCCCAGACCGACGTGGGCACCCAGCGGTTCCTTGGCAACCCATCACGTGTGATGAATTGTCACACGTGATGGGTTGCCACAAATACAATCGTTACTATAGTTATTACTATACAGTTACAATAGACCAATATAACGTGGTTTATCAGTACGTCGGACATATCAGTACCTCGGACACTTTTCATTGGCATTCTACTTTGAATATCAATAAATCAACCATAACATATTAAATTAACTATAACTAAGCGGAATCAGATGAACTAGACATATCTATAGCTTCTTGACAAGTTCGCGCATTATGATCAGCTTTTCCACAGATCCCACAGCATCGCCTAGACGGTTGCCCCTCCTTGCGACTACCCCCAACCGCACGTACGTCGCGTCGTACCTGCTCATCCACATCCTTCTGTGCGATAATAGCCTGTGCATCCTCTACTATAAGTGCACCTCCTTCACGGACACGAGCCTTTTTAGCCCTGCGGCGTTTGCTAAGGGCTTCGTTGGCTGCTCGAAGTGTACGTACCTCAGCAGACAGAAGGGTGTTCTCATGTGCTAGTCGCTCCGTACCCTTTGCCAATGCAATAACTGTCCCGAAGAGTGGAGTTGGCGAGCTTCCTTGGTGACGGGCAATTCGATTTCGAACGAGGGTTGTTTGTGAAAGAGCTTCAGTTGGGTTGGAAGGGGTCTGGGAGACCCAAGGGTTGGTGTTGGCAGTAGAGGGTCTAGAGGGAGTTGGAGTCCGTAACCTCACGTCAAGCTTTGAAAGCACTGCTTGCGGGTCGAAAGGCACTAAGCCAGCTCCGCGGAACCCGGACTGGGCGTTTTGGGCTGTCATGGATTCCAGATATGCTGCTCTAAAGGCGAGAAATAACTCGACCTTGGTAATGTGGTTGATATGAGCCTTAATGAAGGTCTCAATCTGCCGACCATATGCCCGCTTCAACACACTAAAGCACCCGACATCAAGTGGCTGAGTTAAATGAGACGAGTGGGGAGGTAGTCCAAGAGTTATAATGTTGTGTGCCTTGCAGTACTCTTGGAACTCGGCCGATTCATGACTCTCGTGCCCGTCTAACACCAGCATTCGATATGGACCCCTTGCACGAACAGCAGTATGTTTGTCGAAGTGTTTCAACCATTCTAGACCCGTCTCATTGTTTGTCCATCCATTGCTTGTCAGTTTAACAACCCAGTTGTGTGGAAGGCCGCCGTCTGTATACCAATTTGCAAGATGATTCTTGCCTTTAACTACCAAAAATGGAGGAATACTCCAGCCGTCACTGTTGATACAAGCAATCGCTGTAGCCCATTCCCGATTCCCTGGCTGAACTGCCTTACCTCTGCCAAGTCGATCTGCACGGGTAACAACCATTGCAGGGCAAATCACACCCATCATAAACCCAGTTTCGTCAAAGTTATAGAAGTCGCAGTCCAAAACACCATATTTTGCCCTCATATTTTCCACTAGTCGAAACCACGCGCCAATTAGTTCAGGATCTTCGCACAAGGCCCTTTGGAAGTCGTAAACGCGATTAAAATGTGTCTTTAATTCTGGACGTCGTTGTACAAATCGGTGGGCCCAGAGCTTCCCGACGCGCCTCCCTCCACACGATTCGAGTATAAAATTTGCCATATCTTCTACACCAGCAAGCCGGGGTGCAAATCCTCTTGAATCCATATCAAGTATATTCCGAATAACCACCTCCTCTTCTAGTATAGTTAATTTCATCATTGCAGGCCGGCGTTCGTAGACAGTAGTTCGGCCGTTCATTCTGTTGCAGAGTGTAGAATGAGGTACTTCATAGAGCTTAGCAGCCTTCCGACGACTTAGATTTTTCGATGTTGGGATAGCCTCGATAGCTAGAATGATTTTTGCTTCTTGGGTAATCACTGACATAATAAAAGGTGGAAAAAGCGCGTTGTGAAGTTAGAGGGTAGGAAATTCGGGAAAAGTGTCCGAGGTACTGATATGTCTGACGTACTGATAAACCACGTTAGTAGAAACGTTTAATTGGATTTCTACTATCTGTATCCTGCTACTCATTTGCCCTATTCCTGGTATCTTCCATCTCTCCTATCTTAGTTGGCCTGGAAATGAAAACCCCGTCATGTGTAAGTGCATCTGCTGGACAAGCTTCATGTCCTTCTGTTGAATTGTGACTCTCTTTGCGTGGATAGCAGCCAGCTGGGTCACTATAACAATTACTATAATGATTACTATAAACGTGTAGACTCACTTACTTTCAAACTCCTTGACAAGTGTAGTTTCTGCAGCTTCCTGTAAAGCAGAAATTGCAGAAGATTGAAGCTGAAAGTCCTCGCGAGGGTGCAAGTCGCTGATGATCTCACAGATAAGTCGCGTGAATGGCACACGGGGAAGGAGAGGTTCTGTCGATTTTTGGTACTTTTTGATTTGTCGGAGAGCAACAGCTGTTTTTGATCAGAAAGGATTTATAGTAATAGTTATAGTAATCAACTTACTATAACTATTACTATAAATGACCTGGCTTATAACGATGGCTTTTCTTCGCGGCCTTCTTCACAATCTTCTTTCCGCTGATCCCTGAGGTCTTTCTTGGAGCCTTTCCAGCAGTCTTTTGGGCCGGCATCTTCTTGCTGAACTTTTGACCAGGTGCAAACGTTGGAATTGGACCTTTCCAAACCTTGTGTTGTGTCGCTGGAGGGGTCTGGAGTTGAAGGCGTGCACTCTGGCGAGTTGGAGTCTTTGGCTCAAGTGCTGGTTGTACTTGTGGTTGTCATGACCAAAGTGAATAGTTGTTGCATGAATTTGTGGGATTGTTTGAGTGGGGCTTTTTTTCCATCGGGCTCGGTTTCAGATTCGGAGCTTGTGACTGGATCAGGGGCATCGTAGGCAGCGTCCAGATCCATGACACTAAAAGAGGGTTACTATAAGTATTACTATAAGATTTGGGTGCTTTACTTACCAGTTTGCCAGCCAGTAGCAATTCACATAGCCATGTTGATCTGAAGGTCGGGGGAGTGTTGTGTAGGAAAAATAAAGGTAGGGTGAGGTTGCTGTTGTTGGGGTTGTAGCTCACTTAGTAAAATGTCTTCAGCTTCACTTTTTGTATGGTAGTAGGCGATAAAGGTGAATTCTTCCACAACAATAGTAAGGACAACAATAGTAAGCGACCTTATTGACGTGTTTTACCCCACAACAACAACCTTCTTCTTCAACCTTCTTCTTCAACCTTCTTCTTCAACCTTCTTCTTCAACCTTCTTCGTGAACCCCCAACACCCCCAACACCACCAACACTTCTAAGATCAAGGAGGTAAGTCTACTCAATCCTTTCTACTTACTTTATAGTAATTGTTATAGTAAGACAGCCACGATGGTTGGAAAACGAAAGAACGACGACGAGAAGTCGAAGAACAAGAATACCCAGCAGGTCACAAAATGCCGCAACAACATGAGTGAAGTTGAACACAGAATCAACAACGCCAACAGGGCAGATACAGCTGCTGTTTCATATGCCTTGCGAAATCTCCGGGCAACTTCTGAGTTCAAGAACCTCGACAGCCAAGCTCAAGAACGTCGAGTAGAAGCCAAAAAAACCGAGGTAGCTCTCAAGCGCTAAGATCTATTCCTATCTACTGTTATAGTAATAAGTATAGTAACATAGAAACAGTGTACGTGATGGAAAGTATGCAACTGTTGTTCAGCAACGTCTTGGGATTGGTGAGGGAGGGGGGGCATATTCTCTTTGGGACGACGGAAACATTGCTTGGGAAACCGAGGATGAGGATGATGAGGTAGTGCAAGAGGCTATGTGGAGAGAAGATGAGAAGGCCAATGGCGTTGATGATGTTGGAATTCAGAAGATCCAGAGAGAGATGGTGGCACAATCTGTCGCTACAACCAAGGTATGGATGAGAACCCATTACCCATTACATTTGAGCTTTACTAATATAATATAGAAGGTGGATCAGTTGGGATTCTCCCTCTGGCGCCGAAAGTGGAGGGTTGCATACCAATCAACGTTACGACTAATGAAGAAGGTCAACACAGACCCAGACTTCCTTGAGAAATTGCCCCCTGCAATTGATCCAACTACAGGGTAAGTAACTATAGTAATAATTATAGTAACTAGCTAACATCTCTAGGATCTACTACAACAAGGTTCCGCCACATCTATACTTCTCAAAGACGGAAATGGCTGTTTGGAGAAACTTCACCTCATGGAATCTTGATGGTGACATTGCATATCTTCCTGGGCCAGCTGAGTGGTACCCTGATGATTACGATACTACTCAGCATGGTTTCCATGTTGATCTTGATGCTGGCAGAGCATATGAAGCTTGGGAGATGTTGGCTGAAGAAACCGAGCCTACCAATTTCAAGTGGGTCTTGCCATCCGATGATACATTGGTACTGTTGCCTCCAACAAAAGAATCAGAGGAGTTTCTCAGCCAGTTCTACGAAATGTAGATTAGTTTCTTCTTCTACAATAGTCTAGGTAGATCAATACACTACTGTTGACGCTACCACTTCTTAGTTTACTATAAATATTACTATAATTGGCTTATAAGGCTATAGGCCCATAATACCAAAACACGCTACTACCATATACTCCACAAGTAATCTAAAATATTCTAAAGAGGAGAATTCAAGCGAAATAGAGAAGTACGTATAGAATAGATGTAGACCTTAATAAATATTCAGGTTGACTGTTTTATTTTCCTTATAATAATATAATATTGAATATTTTAAAATATTATGTCTTATAACCAATCTTTAAGTTCGCCAGCACAACCTTATAGTGATGTATTCTCTCTTGATGAGCCTTTATCTAGTAATAGAACACCTGAGATTGAGTCCTCCCAACAACTTAACAACCAATGGGATGGGCTAGAAAAGATCCAAGGTCTAAATGTGCTAAAGTGGACGCCTTCAAAGGCAGACCTATTCAACAACTGGTGGCATTACAGTCCTGGTATAAAGAGCAGCCAAATATGTTTTTAAGCACTGATAAGCAAATCAACTGGGGGTCAACAACCCGGACCTCATTATCATGGAGACACTTTGACCAAGGAGCTCGAAAATCAACTGGGGAACCAGTAATTGTTTGCCAGAGGTGTTTGAAAATACTCATCCACCCAAGTATTAAAGGCTCAGGGACAAGCACAATGAGCACTCACCTTCAATCTGCTGGGTGTATAAGGAAGTCATCAAACCATTCTACATTACATCAGAGCCAGCTCCGCCTCTCACAATCCTCTCCAGTAAGCAATATTACATATTACTATACTTATTACTATAAACATACCTAACTATTATTTAGAGTATGCGGCTACAACCAGAAGACGACCCAAAGGGAGCATTCTACAGTTACGTTCTTGAGACTGTAGTATCTCTTAACATATCATTCTGATTTGTTGAGAATCCTATTTGGAGAGAGATGGCATTATGGCAGAATCAGAAATATCCACTTCCTTCACCAACAACCTTATGGCGGCGCCTTGATGTTATGGTTAGTAATGCACAGCAGATTGCCCTTCATGGTCTTGTACCTGGGGCAAGGTGTGCATTATCTCTTGACAATTGGTCTAGCCCTGGAACAAGGCACTCCTTTATGGGTATTATGGCAACATTCATTACTGATAAATGGGATACCATGAGGCTTTAATTGGGTTTGAGTATCTTGATGGAGCCCATACAGGGAAAGATCTTGCAACCTTGTCCAGCGTGTTATAACCCAATATCACCTCGATGGTAGAGTTCATTGTATTACAACTGATAATGCAAGTAATAATACTTCAATGATGGGTGTTATTAACGACATGGTAAAAGAGCTATCATCAGAGCCAACAAGATACCATGATGGAGTCATTCACCATATACCATGCTTCGCACATATTGTCCAGCTTGCACAAAAGGCTCTCCTTGGGTCAATCCGATTAAACCCAACAAACTCAGAGCTACAGACTGACTGGGATGAAAATTCAGCCAACGAGGTTAGAGATCTAACTAAAGAGAGGGGCCTTACATGGACCCTTGCCAAGGTATGTTTATAGTAATTTTTATAGTAATTGCCACTAATATAAAACTAGCTTCGGAAGCTAGCTGTCTTTATGAATTCAAGTTCACAGCGAAGAGAGAGATTTATGGAAATCCAAAGACAGTGTATTAAAGATGGAGCAAAGGTCTTACGACTTATCCAAGATGTGTTGACGCGATGGGACTCAACCCTTTGTTGCAACTTGTCTGAACCACTTCACTACATCACACACCTGATTGCTGCATTGTGGAATAGTCTAAGCTACGACCCTTTGGCTCTTTTTCCTAAGACAGTGTGTTGTCTTAGTAAATTCATCCCTTCCTTGGGTGGCTAGATTCTCACATCTGGTGCACCCACCACTACAATAAAGTCGTTCTGCGTCAACAGCATTCACAAAGTTTCCTCCAGTAGCTCCAGTATCGATAAGAGCTTGTGCTTTGATTTTTTATTTTCCTATCATACAAGTAACTATGAATGGAGTATCTGGATCTAATTGAGGAAGAAATTGCAATTCTGGCTGTCATGACACCTTCAGTGACGTCTTGTCTGAAGGTTATTCTTTTCCCGAAAGTGGAGCATCATAAGTGCTAACTTCGTGGACTTGAGCATTCTTGGTAGGACATTCATAAGCTCGGTGTCCAGTTTGCTGGCAATGGAAGCAGCGGCCTTCCTGCATTAAGTTCTCAGTTGCAGGGTTCTGATGTGGTGCACGATATAGTCTTGGTGGTCTAAAGCCAGCAGGTGGGTTTGTAGTAGGCTGCTTAGCCTTACTGTGAAAGTCTTGTGGCTTAAAGGCTTGCTGAATAACTTGAGGGACAGTGCGAGCATCTTGGATTTGAAGTTGCTGGATATTCTGATCAATCAGTAAGCACTTTTGTGCAAAGGCATGGAGAGAGCTTGGATTTATCTCTGCTATTAAAGCAGTCTGCATCTTCGTATTAACCTTATGGCAGAGGTCATCAATGAGGGTCTCCTCTGAGTAATCCAGTTCAACAGTGAGTCTCTGGAACTCTGCCCAAAAGGTAGCAAAGTTATCCTTGTTTTGGACGCTCTAGTGTCTTTGAATAACATAATAGATGCGGTATTGAAAAACTCAACCAGAGGCAAGAGAATCATGAACGTGAGAGGATCCTATCTTGGCTGAGCCCAGTCAGCCCTTCTACACAGCAGAGTGAATTATTCAATTCTCACCAAGCTAGGACAGGGACGTGGTTGCTGAAAACGGAGAGGTTTCAGCAATGGGTCGGCGGTGAAGAGCAGATTCTTTTCTGCCCTGGGATTCCTGGGGCCGGAAAGACAGTTCTCTCATCAATCATTATTAATCATCTAGGTATTTCCTAACCAAGACGAGATCGGAATCACATACCTCTTTTGCAACTATCGGCAGCAGCATACACTTGTTGAGCTCTATTCTGCCCTTCTAAGACAAGCCGTGCAGCGAAAGCCCTCACTTCCAGATAGTATTAGATCCTTTTATCAGAACTACTACTCAGTGAAAGGGAGTCGTCCTTCTGAAGATGATGTATTAGGCGAATTACGATCTGTGCTTTCGTCATGCATAAGAGCTTTTATCATCATCGATGCCCTTGATGAATGTCAGATTTTTGATGGCAGTCATAGCATACATCATCCATTTATTCGCCAGCTTATCCGTCTGCAAGATGAAGGTTTCAAAATTCTTGCGACATCTCGACCAGATCAGGAGATTGCGGTGTATTTTGAGGGCGCCACTTCTCTTGAGATACAGGCAAGCACCGAAGACATCCAGTACTATATTGACAGGCGCCTCGGAGATCTCCCACTATTTGTCCGAAAGAGACCAAACCTGCAGCACGTCATCAAGGATACTATTACCGAATTAGCTAAAGAAATGTATAATATTTATACCAGTCTGAGAGAGTGCTAATATAATTAGGTTCCTCCTAGCTCGGCTCTATTTTAATCTACTCCTCGACCAATCAAACGAAAAGGGAATTCAAAGGATGCTAGAACAGTTCCGTACTGGCTCCGAGTCTAATGCTTATGACCATGCATATAATGAGACTATGAGCAGAATCAATCGCCAGGGTGCAAATGCCTCTGATCTCGTGAAGAAGACTGTCACGTAGAGTTCTTGCATCAAATTCTCAAGATTGAAAAATGCTGCAATGGGCTCTGCCTTTATATCACTTGTTTTTATCCCGCATTCCTCAATGCCAGTAAACGGTTCAAATCCACAGCGATCATATGCAGATATTTTAGCCTGACTCTGAAGAAACTTCAGAGCATTAGATCCAATCTCAGGCCCATCTCGGAAATGATGTCCCCAATTGTAGGATGAGTAATTATAGAAGGGGTATTCGCGAGGAATATCTTCAATCTTAGCTTCAGTTTCGAATTGATCCTCAAACACATTGTATGATATGTATGTCAAACAACTGTCCGTTATTAGCTCGTGAATATTAGGGAACCACGTCTTCCAGGTGCCCTCAAAGTACTTCTGGGTGGTATAGTGGACAAGCGCCACATTACTCGTTTGCTCGTCGACAATAACTAGACCACAGCAGTATGAAGTCAATTGTTCGATGTCAGTGATGTTCGTCTCGTCAAATTCGCTCGTTTCAATCTCGACCGCGAGCACCTGTTCTAGCTCAGCGACCGTCAGGATTCGTTTTGCGTTTATAATCCAACCGATGGTCTTTGTCACAGCCCGATAGACACGCCGGTGCACCACCCCATACTCAGGGGCATGCTGGCATACCACCCCATACTCAGGGGCACGCCGGGTACGCCTCCGTACTCGGTCGGAGACACGCTGGCGTACGCCCCCGGACTCAAAGACACACCAGCGTACGCCAGCGTACGCGAGAGTACACCCCGTACTTATAAATACGCCTACGTACTTAAAAGTATACTTACGTAAGCATTCCCCTTTATATAGAGTATATAAACATATAGAGATACTCTTATACAAGAGTATCTAAAGTCCTATCTATTACAATACATGATCACTATCCACGCCACGAAAATTAACATCAGAATTACTCCCGTGTTTGAGTGAAGCCCCATCATGGCCACCCTCAGCCTCCACTAAGGGCAACTGTTGTGGTTCGGTGCTGAGAAGTTCAGGATTAGCACCCCTATCCAAGAGCAGGTTAAGTACCTTCTCATGGCCGCCCCATGCGGCCCAGGATAGCGGGGTGTAACCTGATCGATCACTGCCATTGATATTGGCGCTATTATTCAGGAGCATCGTAACCACCATATCGTGACCATTCATAGCTGCTAAGTGTAATGGCGTCTGTCTCGTGTGAGAATTTGTATCAATACAGGCACCCCTATTTAGAAGAAGCTTTACGGTCGACTCTGAGCCATACGAAGCAGCTAGGCATAATGGGGTCTGGTCGTGGTTGTCCCCTCTAGCCTCGATATTAGCCCCACCATCTAATAAAAGGTTTGTTTGTATCTCGTAACCCCTTTTTGCAGCTCGATGCAGTGGAGTTTCTCCATCCATGTTCTTGGCTTCGGTGTTAGCGCCCTTGTCTAAGAGAATCCTAACCATGCCTTCATTGTTCACCTGCCAAGGTAGGAAATATCTGGTGGCTTTATGCAGCGGTGTTTCCCCATATTTGCCGATGATGTTTGGGCTGATACCTAGTTCAAGGAAAAGTTCAACTACTGCCGGTTGACTACTAAATGCTGCGTGATGTAAAGCGCCGTCTCCATCTTCACTCATGCTATTGAGATTGGCGCCCATGCTTAGGAGCAGTTTGACTGTCGTCATATGCCCTCGTTTTGTGGAAGTAACAAATGGCATCCTTCCCCAGTTGGACTTAGATTCAATGTTGGCGCCTCTATCCATCAGCAGTGTGACTACTGTATCATGTCCTTTAGATGCAGCAGTGTCCAATGGAGTCTCAGAGCTTAAATTCTGGATTTAACATCGGCATTATTATCCAGGAGAAGCTTGGCTATCGCTCCATGACCCTGTGACGCAGCCGCGTGTGATGGTGACATGCCATCTACGCATATTATATTAGTATTAGCGCCTCTATCAAGAAGCATCTTGGTTAGCATCTCATGGCCGTGGATTACAGCCAAGAATAGAGGTGTGCTCTTAGTCGAACCCCTTTGCACATGGCGAGCGCTGAAGGTCACATATCGGGAGCAAGTCTCCTTATAGCAGCCGGAGCGAGACCAGATATACCAGATCGATTTGGGCGAACACCACTATTTGCTGCTATCTGCGGAGGTCATCTTGACATGGTTCAATTCCTAATCAGCTTACCAGGAGTTAATAATGTTAATTATCTATAGGTAATGGAGGGCCGTGAGACTCTTTATGTCTTTAGTGACCTAGCATACACAGCTGCCTTTAGAACCGCTTGCCATTTTGAGCATCTGCTTAGGTGATTTGCACTGTAGGAGGATGAGCAGTAATGGAATACCGCTTTATCCTCCGTTTGAATCAAAGTTAAGAGTGTTTGGACATGTCCTAACGACATGGACATATACAGCATTTAGGAAGGGACTACTGTAATGCTGACTTCTAAAGATAGAAGACACAGAGGTTTCTTGCGAAGGTTGACTTGACAGAGGAGGCAGGGGATTAAACACAAAGGCTTTCCAAGTAACACGTTACAGTATTGTAAAGAATACTATATTGAGTTGAGCACGAAGCTCCTATCTAAGGAAATACTATCTACTTATATAGTGGCGTCGTGCCAAAGGAATATCAAGGATATTTTGGATAACAAATATCCATGATATCATCTGCTATACATCATGTGGGGTTGTGGCTGTAAGCGCTAGCCTTGTGACTCACAGGTCACATTACTAGAGCCTAGCCCCACTAGCCCTGTAACCATGACATCATATTACCGTAGCCGTAACACATAGCTGTAACACTATTCTTCGAGCCTAGCTCTAGAGGTTGGTGCAAATCGGTCCTTAAACTTAACAAGCATTTCGTATGGAGTATTACAATTGTATGCGTAAGGTAGGAATTCCCGTCTTATAGTATCTTAGATCTTATACTGTAGCCCCTAAATTACTTCCTCCTGTTTCTCCTATATTTTTCAGTTATATTAGAAGTCTGCTTGTAGGTTTAGAAGTTCTTCCTTCTAGTCATCTATAGGCAACTCTATGTGAAATAAGTTATAAATCTTTTACTCAATTAAATATACAGATGCATGCAAAACTCTTGACCTAATGGAATTCATGAAAAGCACCTTATGGATAATTTATATGGGATTAGGGAATCCATATGATGAATTTTCAGTATAACTAACACTTTGACCTCTTCACCTATACCGCTTTAGAATCGGGTTTTTGTATGTCTCAATTACCCGATCAGTTTATTTTAATTGGCTTATTTACTTGATGGGCTTAGTATGTTAGTGAACATGGTCCACTAGAGCCTGCCTAGTTATAACGAACCCAAAAAGGCTTAATATTTAAGTTAATAGTTTGTGAAAATCTGCTGTCAATAATTCAGAAGTGGCTCACTCTTGACTCCCATTAACCCCATTTTATTTAATTCAAAGTTTTTGATACTTTAACGCTCTTGATTTCTGCTCGTTACTTGACGAAGTGCCGAAGTTCTGGGGCAATACAGCGCACTGCGCTAACTGCGCCACGACATTTCCCCGCCTTCCGCTACGGAACCCTGGAACTACTATAATTCTAACACACAGGGAGTTTGACATGACTCGTCATAGCACAATTGGGTTTAGCTCTGTTTAAATGGTCCAGCCACCTCGGGAGTTTCTCTCCGCCGTCATAAAGCTCGTGGAAGAAGAAAAAACTCATCCAGAATAAGCTAGGTCGAGAAATGTTATTCTTATAACTTATAAATCTAAGGGAAGTATTATTGTGGTGGGAAATACTCAGCTGCTCTCGCGAGACTGGCTTCGTTTCAGAGGTCCTAATTATCTACCAGCTGTATATTCATAGGGCAGGGGAGCGATTTGTAGTATTTCGTCAATAGTTAATGATTCCTGGAAAGATGGCCAGAAAACCCGCGCAAACATAATCCAAATGTCATTCGAACTTGAGTTGGCTGGAACAAACACTACCATCGCTGAGCTAACACAGCCGACATGCTGACTGGGCATGAGGAAAACACACGTTAACTTAGTTTAATTTCATTTAAGTTCAAATCACTAAAGTTCATACTTTCTGCATTCCTTCAAATTTATCATAAAATTCGCTCTCTCTTTCTTCTAATCCTTAAAAACCCTTATGGAGTGTGAACTCGGAGCGGATTATCTAGAGTTGGAATACCTAGAATATATTAGTATTAGAGCATACATAACCCTGTTTAGTGCTTACTGTAGTCCACTGTAAGGCCTAAATAGGCAATTCTAAAATGAGTTGGAATTGAGGATTTGAAAAGTTGTGATCTTCATGATTTTCGTGAGTTTACCTATGACATGACAAGGGAAATTACTAGTAAATTGTATGTAATTCTCCCATTCCGGCCATACCCCCTACGGCGTTCCCTTTGTAGTCCCCTATGTGACTAGAGCCCTTTGTTCCCTCTGTAGAATACTGGCCTTTGATAAATTTTTCTACTTCAGTAAGTGCTTTGGAACTGGGCGGGAGGGGGGAGAGGTGGTGGCGCCCAGAAAAACATACATCGCGGTACTTCTATTGCCATACAAATATATATATAAATTGAAGTACCTATATGTACCCTTTTGCGACTGCCACCACTGCAAATTACCCCTATTCGACCACCACCTTCGTTATAAAATATCTTTGCGACGTAGCTACTATATTACTTCAATTCAGAGGTAGTTATAGTAATTAGATCTAATGTCTAATACCAAAGACCTAGAACTGACTGCGATTGCTACTTGTGCTAATGTTCTGGTTATTCGGCATAATTGCCGTCGTCGATACCATCGGTGGCTCTTACGACAGTTATATACAACTCAACGCCCACAGACCCGACTTACTTACGAGTATGATAAGTTCAACTGGAGCTTACGGGCATGGGTAGCCATACTCCTGGATGGGTAGCTCATAAATTCTGGTAGGCTTTTAGGTTATAACTCTATATGGTTCTTATTACTCACAGTTAACAGGTTTTCCATTGACGAAATAGCTCGGCTTGTGCCACTGCTAAAGCTTCATACAATAGTCTGGAGCAGGCGGGTAAACCCAGACCCAGAGACTGCTATTTGCATAGTCTTGGCCCATCTTGCGTATCGCGTTGGACAACATGTGTTGACCTTTTTGGATGGTCTTAGGATAAAGGGCTACAGTCACAGTCGCAGCCTTTAACAGCTCACTTTAAAGCTGTGATACTATTAACGAACTGTTATACTTGTATACAGGGTAATTTGATTGGAACGAAGTTTCTGGTGCCTCCACCAACAGTAGAGGAATATCTTCTTTGTACTAGCTAGGATATATATGTATTACTTGACTCTATCCAACCCTCTACCCCATTATATTTGCTACTATCCGTACTTTCAATTGGAATGTTTCGTCGGATAGGCCCATGTAATGCCTGCTGAAGAAGAGATATCATAGCTCCCGGATCTGATGATCGACTTGCTGTAACTGCGAAGTATTATAGGATTATCAATGTTCTCGTTGTGACTTTCCTGCTGCCCTCCCTGCCCTCTTGCATTACTCTGTCTATACTGATCCTTCACCATACTCATGAACGACTCAAAGACAGATAATACTGGGTCGTCAGCCTGTGTATTTAATCACTCTTTAAGGAGCAATTGAGTCTGAGACGGTGACAAAGTTCGGGGCTGTCTATGATGGCGTCTTTCTCGACTACTTGAACGGCCACGAGGAGCTGAAGTTCCTCGTAGTACTGGTGTTGGTGTTCATAGTAGGGTTGGTGTTTCCAGGGGAGTTGAGTCTATAGAGTGAACACTCTCGCCGTTCTCACTTTGCCTTTCTTCTGCAGAATCATCTAGTATATCCTCGTCGTCAGGATCGTCAAAGCCAGGGCACTCTTGTGCTCTCTGGCCAATGGATCTATTACGACTTTGAGGATAAGTCTGCGGGTGCCTCCGCTTTGTAGCAAGAGCAACGGATAACAAGTCTCGAGTATTGAGCGCTCGCTGCGACGAAGTGATAACAGTATTTGCTGCCTACTTCGCTGTGTTTCAATCTGCTTTTCCTCAGTAACAACACCAATCCAGTTATCAGTTTGGACAGTCAATTCCGACTCGCTATCAGTTTGTCCAGTCCCAAGCCCATCGAGGTATTTCCTTCTCTTGTCGATTTCCCGCTGTACTACTCAGTAGAGACTCTTGTGGTCTTTACCAGTCTTGTAAGGACACAGGGCACCCAGCTCACAGTAATAGCATATGAGAGTACAAGACGGAGGCTAAACGGATGCTATCCTATAGGTCTACTATGAAGGATACAAAAAAGATGAAGGGGGAACCCCGTCCCGTCTGTTTCCTTGAGTACCCGAAACGGGCCCGACTCGGTTATCCCAACCCTAGCCCTGATCCTTCCAGCGCAACAGGTCAGCATCGACCCTGAACCCTACATCATTACCATCCCCCACTATAGTGTAACTCGCTATGTGCTCCTCTACTGCTTCGAAACCACACCGAATCAGATTTCATGCTTGTAGTGACCGTAACAGTTTTGAGACAGGTTCTTCGAGTATCTAGGTACGGAGGCATCCTTACACTACCCCCCGTCTTAAGAGAGTGCTTTGTCTGCAAAGCACGCCGCCCGCCTATACTCCGGAACCCATCCGGGTAGCGTTGGTGAGCTTAGGCGTTCTTTGTCGTAGGGTTTGCGCGCATGGCCGCATTAGTGACAACCGCATTGGTCTGATGTGATGGGAGATGGAAAAATAGTCCTGGAGCAGTAATACCGTATCAGCTCCGTCTGGTATGCGACTACTTTTTGTTTTCTTTGTTCGATCTCTGGCTTAGTGGTGATGGTCCGAATGAGCACCGGGAGATATCCGCTACAGGTACGCGTCAAAAGTTCCCCATCGCACACGGAGGGTGGCTGCGTTAACCCGATTCGGGTGTCATTGTCGTAAGCCAAATCTGAGTTCAGAGCTTCGCCCACTTTCTCGTTTTTTATTCTTTACTTCACAACAACAACGCCCACAAACCGACCTCCGAGACCAGTAAGTGGCCACTCCCCATCTGTTTCCTGATCGTCTACTAACTGATTGTATAGTATATCCACAATCTGAACGAACGAGTAGGTGATGGGAGCGCGTTGGCAAACTGGTGATAACTTGGGCTTGGCTGACGGAATCGCAGATTCCAAAAAAAAATCGAAGATGCCGGTTCCGACCCCATCCGGGGCCCTTACGGTTACCTTCCACGTGCTCTATCTGCACTGCCTTTGGGCCAAAGCCCATGGGATTCAGTCCCACGACTACATCTGGTCCTCGACCAGTTCAGAGTGTGGGTACTGCACCGCGCAGCACTCGCCTTGCGTCCCGGTAGGTTTTCTTGTGGGGTTCGGTGTTTGGTTTGGTTGGCCATTGCTGACTTTGGTGGAAGCTGCCCTGGTTCCTTGGGGAAGAGTTTGCGGCCCTCCTGGCCGCTGAAGAGGCCACCCCCCTCATCTCCGCCGACGTCGTCGCCGCCGCCACCGAAGCCAATCGGGTGGCCATCCTGGCTGCCCAGAGCATGCCAAAGTTCCGCCCCGAGGCGGAGCGTGACCTCTACAAGGAGGCACGCGCCAGTCAGGCTGCCCTCGAGTTGGGGTTGGCCGTGAGTAGACCCCCTTCCCCTTGGGACCCGGGGTAGTTTCGATGCTGACTCTGGGCAGCAAATTCGGTCGTCGCTGCGCCGTCTCCGGACGGAACAGGAGAGCGTTCCTGCTCTCTTGGGGGAGTTGGTGGCTGCTGTGGGCAAACTGCCCACCACTGCCGCTCCCGCGGTTGCTCCAACTTGGGGGAATGGGAGGGGGAGGATGGGGAAGTTGGGGTGGCCTACGGGGCCTAGGTGGGGGAAGACCCTGTGTCGGAGGGGACTCGGGCCTGGTGTTATGGCTACAGTAACATGATGTCATGGTTACAGGGCCAGGGCCTAGTAACATGACGTGTGAGTCACAGTGGGAATCGGGGTAGGCTGCCATGTGATGGGGCTAATGGATAGTTGCAGAAACTAGTGGACCCTACCCAAACGTCTCACCGGCGTCGCAACAAGCAGCTACCACCCTACCCAAATGTCTCACCGGCGTCGCAACAAGCAGCTACCACCATGAGAGACAAAGGGTCGAAGTGACCCCACGCGAAGGGCCAGGCCTGAGTCCCCTCCAACACAGGGTCTTCCCCCACCTAGGCCCCGTAGGCCGCCCCAACTTCCCCATCCTCCCCCTCCCTCCTTCCATCACCCCGAATCGGAGCGACCGCGGTAGCGGCAGCGGTGGGCAGTTTGCCCACAGCAGCCACCAACTCCCCCAAGAGAGCAGGAATGCTCTCCTGTTCCGTCCAGAGACGGCGCAGCGACGACCGAATTTGCTGGCCAGAGTCAGCATCGAAACCACACCGAGTCCCAAGGGGAAGGGGGTCTACTCACGGCCAGCCCCAACTCAAGGGCAGCCCGAGTGGCGCGTGCCTCCTCGTAGAGGTCCCGCTCTGGGCGGCCAGGAGGGCCACCTGATTGGCCTCGGTGGCGGCGGCAATGACGTTGGCGGGAAGGAGGGGGGTGGCCTCTTCGGCGGTGTCATACTGACATTCGTTGCACTCAGTTTGCTATCAAACTCAAGAGCAAACTTAGAAATCTCCTCCTCAAACCTACAAGTCACCATACATATCTTGGCTTATCACACCAACAACAGAAGCAATACTACTCAACGATTGCTGCAAACTCTTCTACTACATCTGTTTATGCTACATACATCACGGCATATTATTTGGACACTCATTGAACAAGTTATTAAGAAAATCTCCTCCTTAGTTACTGGGCTAATACTACCACATGACATATCTCTACCAACTAGAGTCCTAGGAACATGAACGATAGCTCCAAAAGCTTCTACAACCCTCTATGATTCATTACACAACATCGCTCCTTAGTTACCCACAAGATTGGTTAAGTTATGACATAATTTGTCTATATGGGTACTCTGACCTTGGACCTCCTTTCACTTCCTATAGGCTAGGAACCTAAGAGATGGTTCTATGGGATTCTCTTACATTGACTACAGTTACCAAGACTGGTTAGTCATTGAAAGTCTTGGAAAATGAGAGAACTACACTCCTTTGGCATAAATAGGATTGCCCTTTCCTTAAGAAAGGGCAAGCAGACAATACAGTAAATCGACTATCACATACTTCTATGTCTTTTCCAAGCTTCTAAGCATTTATCTTGTTACTCCTTGTTTTGAAAAGTCAGTGAGGTGTTAACCTCTAACTTATCCCTTATCCCTGAGTTCTCAGACTCAACATTTGTTACAACTTCTCTAAACCACTCCAATACATCATACACCTGATTGCTGCATTGTGGAATAGTCTAAGCTACGACCCTTTGGCTGTATTTCCTAAAACAGTGTGTTGTCTTAGTAAAATCATCCCTTCCTTGGGTGGCTAGATTCTCACATCTGGTGCACCCACCATTACACGTTAGTTCTCAAGGTTGGGCAGTGCTGCCATTTGTCATTGTGGCAGGTAAAAACCACCTTGCATCTTGGTATGAGAATAGCGGATTTCCAGCAGATTGGGTAATCGCTGTTACTGCAAATGGCTGGACTACAAACGAGAGAGGTATGGATTGGATTCAGCATTTTGAGAAGCACACAAAGCCCCGGAGTGTTGGTGGTTATCACTTGTTAGTCCTTGATGGTCATGAGAGCCACCACTCAGACAAGTTTGAGGAGTACTGCAAAGAACACAACATTATTACGCTTTGTATGCCTGGTCACTCTTCCCATATACTCCAACCACTTGATGTTGGCTGTTTTGGCCCATTAAAGAGAGCTTACGGTCGGCAAATTGAAGATGTGATGCGGGCTCATATTATTCATACTAAGGATGACTTCTTTGCTGCCTTCCACACTGCATTTAACATTGCAATGACAGAAAGCAATATTCAGGGAGGGTTCTGAGGTGCTGTGTTTCTTCCATTTAACCCTGAGAGTGTAATATCTACACTTGACCTTAGGTTTAAGACGCCAACACCTCCAACCTCTCGCCCAAACACCGCTCAACCATGGGTTTCTCAGACACCAAATATCACAGTCTACTTTCATTAAAAACTGAATTGCACATCATCAAAATAGCTCTCCAACCTCAATCTATGCAGCTGTTGACCAGTTTAGAAAGGGTGCATCGCAAATAATGCATCAATTAGCATTGTTAAAAGCAGAGAACCAAAACCTGTGACAGGCAAATGAAGTGCTAAGCAAGCGCCGGAGAGCAAAAAAAACACGACTATAGCAAGGAGGATCACTTAGTCAACAGGTAGCACAGGAGCTACAGGACGAGAGGGATGTTGTGCAGCAAGTAGAGCACGAAATAAGGGCAAGTAGTGGTTGGAAGCCAAGGGAAGAAACCCATGCAAGTCGCTGTGGCAAGTGTGGTGAGACTGGGCACAATGTGCGCACTTGTCAGATTGTAATAGACACGTCTGACGAAGAGGACTCTGAGTAGTTTTAATTAATTTATATTGTTGTGGAGGATTTATCGCAATTCTTATGGGGTAGTCGCGATATTTTGGCACTTTCGCTTGTTTGGCACTTTTGTTATACATGCACGTTAACGTGGTTTATCAGTACCCAGTTAGCTTTTCGCATTTTCTCCACACCCTAGCTTCAATACGCGTTATTTCAATAATAAAGTATGTCTGTTCATACCCAAGAAGCTAGAATCATCTTAGCTATTGAGGCTATTCGTATGACTAAAAAGCTTACTTGTCTTTGTGCAGCAAAGATCTATAACGTACCTTATTCTACACTTACCGGTAGAATGAACGGTCGTACAGATATTCGTGAGAGATAACCAGCTGCCCAAAACTTGACTGAACTTGAAGAGGAAGTAATTAGTCAACATATAATTGACTTAGATTCAAAAGGATTTGCACCCCGGTTGGATGGTATTGAAGATATGGCCAACTATCTCCTCGAAACGCATCAGGGAAAGCGTGTTGGGAAGCTCTGGGCACATCGATTTGTACGACGACGCCCAGAACTAAAGACGCATTTTAATCGTGTTTATGACTTCCAAAGGACCTTATGCGAAGATCCTGTGCTTATTGGAGGGTGGTTTGAGCTCGTACGAAACATGAGAGCTAAATATGGGGTGTTGGATTGCGATTTCTACAACTTCGATGAGACAGGGTTTATGATGGGCGTGATCGGTCCTGGAATGGTAGTTACGTGCTCCGATCGACGTGGCCGAGGCAAGGCAGTTCAGCCTGGCAATCGTGAATGGGCTACAGCAATCGTGTGCATCAATGGTGAGGGCAGAAGTGTGCCTCCATTTCTGGTCGTACAAGGGGTTAATCACCTTGCAATTTGGTATACTGAAAGTGGCTTACCACATGACTGGGCTATCAAACCAACAAGCAATGGATGGACTGACAATGAGACGGGTCTTGAGTGGTTAAAGCACTTCGACAAGCATACTGCTCATACGGCAAAGGGCCCTTATCGAATGTTGGTTCTTGATGGGCATGAGAGTCATGATTCAGCTGCATTTCAAGCATATTGCAAGTCCAACAACATTATACCCCTTTGTTTGCCTGCTCATTCCTCTCATTTAACCCAGCCACTTGATGTCGGGTGCTTTAGTGTATTAAAACGGTCGTACGGTCTTCAAATTGAGCACTTTATTAAGGCTCATATTAATCATATCAGCAAGGTTGATGTTACGGCTAAGTGCTAGTGCTATGGCTAGCGCTTACAGCTGCAACCTTATGCAAGAAACCTCTGTGTCTTCTATCATTTAGAAGTCAGCGTTACAGTTGAGTTCTTTATTGCGTTCAAGGCGGCGTACGAGCAGTCACTTTCAGTCCAAAATGGCCAAGCTGGATTCCGGGGAGCTGGTTTAATAACGTACGATCCTCAAGTAGTTATATCTAAGCTTGATGTTAACTTACAAGCGGTTACACCTCCTTGGCTCCCCTCGGTAGATGAGGACCCTTGGGTCTCTCAGACGCTTCAAGAGCTTCGGTCTTTCACAAACAACCTTAGTTAAAGGTCGTATTGCACGTCACCAAGGAAGCTCGCCGACGCCTATTTTTAAGACAGTTGCTTCATTAGCAAAGGGGACAGAGCTTTTAGCTCACAAGGTCACTTTGTTACAAGCTGAGATACATTCACTTCGTACGGCAAATGAGGCACTTAGTAAATGCCGTAGAGCTAAAAAGACAAGTATTTGTCAAGGGGGTGTACTTACTGTCGAGGATGCGCATGATATTCTAAGTCAAACTGAGTTAGACGAGCAGATTCGACACGATAGGCGTTCAGGAGGGGGTGTTCAAGGCAAAGGGAATCTGACCGTACGACGCTGTGGCACTTGGGGAGAGACTGGTCATAATTCAAGAATGTGTCAAGATACTATCACTGTATAACCTTTAGTAGATCCGCAATTAGTTTAGTTAAATTTAATTCGTTGTTGTTGTTTAATATTAATTCTTCGTACGAAGGTACGAAAAAGTTAACCGGGTACTGATATTAACCGGGTACTGATAAACCACATTATACGCTTTATCAATAATCATGATTATGATTACGACTAACGTGCATGTATAACGAAAGTGCCAAACAAGCGAAAGTGCCAAAATATCGCGACTACCCCATAAGAATTGCGATAAATCCACCACAACAATATAAATTAATTAAAACTACTCGGAGTCCTCTTCCTCAGACCTGTCTATTACAATCTGACAAGTGCGCGCATTGTGTCCAGTCTCACCACACTTGCCACAGCGACGTGCATGGGTTTCTTTCCTTGGCTTCCGACCACTACTTGCCCTTATTTCTTGCTCTACTTGCTGCACAACATCCCTCTCGTCCTGTAGCTCCTGTGCTACCTGTTGACTAAGTGATCCTCCTTGCTGTAGTCGTGTTTTTTTAGCTCTCCGGCGCTTGCTTAGCACTTCATTTGCCTGTCACAGGTTTTGGTTCTCTGCTTTTAACAATGCTAATTGATGCATTATTTGCGATGCACCCTTTCTAAACTGGTCAACAGCTGCATAGATTGAGGTTGGAGAGCTATTTTGATGATGTGCAATTCAGTTTTTAATGAAAGTAGACTGTGATATTTGGTGTCTGAGAAACCCATGGTTGAGCGGTGTTTGGGCGAGAGGTTGGAGGTGTTGGCGTCTTAAACCTAAGGTCAAGTGTAGATATTACACTCTCAGGGTTAAATGGAAGAAACACAGCACCTCAGAACCCTCCCTGAATATTGCTTTCTGTCATTGCAATGTTAAATGCAGTGTGGAAGGCAGGAAAGAAGTCATCCTTAGTAATGTGAATAATATGAGCCCGCATCATATCTTCAATTTGCTGACCGTAAGCTCTCTTTAATGGGCCAAAACAGCCAACATCAAGTGATTGGAGTATATGGGAAGAGTGACCAGGCATACAAAGCGTAATAATGTTGTGTTCTTTGCAGTACTCCTCAAACTTGTCTGAGTGGTGGCTCTCATGACCATCAAGGACTAACAAGCGATAACCACCAACACTCCGGGGCTTTGTGTGCTTCTCAAAATGCTTAATCCAATCCATACCTCTCTCGTTTGTAGTCCAGCCATTTGCAGTAACAGCGATTACCCAATCTGCTGGAAATCCGCTATTCTCATACCAAGATGCAAGGTGGTTTTTACCTGCCACAATGACAAATGGCGGCACTGCCCAACCTTGAGAACTAACGCCTTGGATTACTGTAACCCATTCCCGATTGCCAGGTTGCACCTTTTTTGCCTTTGCCCGCCCATCTGAGCTCGTTACTACCGTTGCGCTTGAGATGACGCCCATCATAAACCCAGTCTCATCAAAGTTGTAGATATCTGCATTGTTGATGCCATACTTTAGAATTGTGTTCCATACAAGCTCAAACCAGCCACGAATGACTTCTGGATCTTCGCACTTAGCCCTCTGGTAGTCGTATTTTCGCTGGAAGCGTGTCCGGAGCTCTACATGGCGCTTAACAAAGTTTGAAGCCCAACGTGACCCGACGCGTGGCGCGTCACGTGTTGCAAGTAGTCAATTTGCCATATCTTCAACAATAGACAACTGAGGAGGGAACCCTTTAGCAGCTAAGTCAAGTATATACTGAACAAGAACTGATTCCTCTAGGTTACTTAATTTCCATAAGTTGGCTTGGATATCGCGTCGTGAAGGTATGCCTTGTAAACGGTGACGTAGCTTGCGGTGGTCTACGGAATAGATCCTAGCTGCAACTCGAAGGCGCAAATTTGGGTCGCTTTGCATAGCTTGGATAGCTAGCACTAATTTGCTTTCATCATTTTTATGGCGCATGTTTTGTTGTGGAGGAATTTAACATTTAGTTGGGGGGGTTGGTCACCGCATGATTTTGGCACTTTCGCTTGTTTGGCACTTTCGTTATACATGCACGTTAAATAATCATGATTATAATTGATTTTCTAACCCTGCTCCCGGTGGCATCATAACTCTCCTCCCCTCCCTACAAGAGGAAACAAACAATTTTAATATCAGTTTATAACAGTCATGTGATGACTAGAGGCGCCAGCAACAGCGCATATTTGACAACTATCATAGGTCTCTTTAAAAGTCTAACTTCCTTAGTCTTACTACCGCTCGGTATAAGGAATATATCCCGTGTTGGTAAAGAGTAAAGTGCGTCGGGGGTGCTGGATTACTTGGAGTCGACAACAGATTGAAGCATCAGGAGAGATGGACCTCCGAGAATCGTGACCCACTGGATGAGGCCTAGCAGTACAATTATTAGGATATCTATTATTTTCTCATACTGTCGATTGTTGAGAGCTGGGTAATACGTGAAACGATACGAGTTAATGATATAGTCGTCTATAGTCGTCTTCAGCATTTTGTGGGTTTCCTGTGTTGTGAGTGGCGACTTGTTGATTGATTCATCACACACTTCTCCCTGTCCACTAAAGCCACACTACTTATCTATGTAGACGAGGCTTCGTCAACCTTAACCCTCCCGCTTCCACCCACCACATTCATACTCATACCTCTACCTCTCCTACATATCACGATTAGAATACGATACTCTCGCGTTTTATATTTTCGACAATATCAACGATACGCTTGAGCTGGATGCTGTCTCATTCGCGCACTCTACAGCCTGAGAGCTGAACGGCCGGCCCCGCAGCCCCGTGGCTACTACATCACACGCCATCATGAGGACTCCCAGGGTCTTCCTTCTCCTTGCCTTCGTCCTCGTATCTTTCACGCTTCTGATATTATCCTTACAATCTTCTTCTAAACCCATCGAACATACCGAAAACCAGGCGAAAGCTGATAATAGCGGGGTGCTCAGCACCTTCTCATTCAACACGCCACTGTCGCTCTTCCCACCGAATGCTATCATTAGCTTGACCGACGACAATACGACTTCTTTCCTTGCTCGACCTGCGGCATTTGGACCTCCTCTACCAACTACAGGTTTGAGCGGCCAGCTCTGGGTCGGGAGTGGATTTGGCGACGACAGTCTCCGACATGGCATTATATCAACGGGCGGGGAAGGCGAGCTGGGCTGCAGCGACGTCATGCCCGAGGGAAATAACATTGTCGCGCGACCCCTCGACAATTTGTTAACATCTACCACACCGCATAACAGACACAGAAGGAATGCGGCAAGAAGTGCCGCAGCGGACGATGGAACTGATGACAACCGTTATAACACGGCGTCTGACGCCACGGTCGACCGGCGGATGGTCTCTGGCTGGCCACTCAAGAGCAGCACGAACTCCGGCGCCAGCCATGCCGATATCCAATCTATCCAGGAAAGCGCTGAAATTGCAGGAAAGGTCGTCATGCTGAGCAGAGGCGGCTGTGGGTTCCTCGAGAAAGTCGAATGGGCACAACGAAGAGGTGGTATAGCTGTTATCGTGGCGGATGATACCCGTGGAGGCCCATTAATCCAAATGTATGCTCGCGGCGATACGTCAAACGTTACCATTCCGTCTGTATTTACATCGCATACGACCGCCCACCTTTTATCGTCTTTGATTCCTCCCGGTACATATATCGAGGATGCAACCAACGAAGACGGGAATTCAATGCTCAAGGTTAAACACTCCAAGAAATCAAAGCGAAAGAAGAAGAAGGCATCGAAACAGCGCAAGTCTAGAAAGGGATCGACTGGTGCGGTGCCAAAGGGTTATACTGTTTCCTCAAAAATGTCGACTGAGCCCGCCGTGGCACAGTCGCGACGTGACTCTTGGCTCGGGCGCCTGCTCTGGGGCTCCAAGCCAAGTCAGCCTGCCAAGAAAGATTTTCTGGATTGGGTCGTAGTTGATGAGTGGGATGACCAGAAAGTCCCCATTACAGGTTCAAAGGCAGACACCAAGGGCAAAGTAGCCTCGAAAGCTACTCCCAAGGACAATTTCGTTGGTGTCGATGACTGGAGGGACCCCGACTTTATTAAAAACGCTGGCGCCGACAACTCGAAACCACGTGAAGAAGCACAAGAAAGTTCTGGCCAAGTTCAAAACAAGTCTCCCATTGAAAGGTTATATACTCCTTCTGCTAACATCGAAGAGAAAAATCCAAAATCCGACCAGAAGACCGAAAATCTTAGTGCCGAAAACCCTGGCCTATCTTCTAAGTTATTTGGCGATGATGATGAAAATGACATCAAAGGAACCGGCATGGAAAGCGAAGATGACGACGGTGGACCTGACTACGACAATGCACATGAGGGCCTATGGGTAACTTTGACCCGAACTAGCGGGGCTACTCCATTCTTCGATACTCTACTAGTGCTCGTTGTTAGCCCACTCGTTACTCTGACAGTAGTCTACACCCTTCTGCTCGTCAGGTCGCGGATTCGACAACGCCGATGGCGCGCTCCCAAGTCTGTGGTTGAGAGGCTCCCAGTACGCACGTATCGGACGATCCCTACAACTTCCAGCAACCAGTCACGGCAACCCTCACCTTCAAGTTCGTCACCGACAACCCCTCTACTCCAGCGATCGCCTACTAGTTCGCGGCCGCGTTCTAGAACAACCTCTACTCTCCCTGAATCGGCAATCGTATCTCGAACGAATTCAGACGAGTTGGTAACGCCCAAACCACGTCGCGCAAACGAGCATGAGAAGAAGGGCGACTGGAAAAAGTATATGGGTAGGCAGATTGAGTGCGTGGTGTGTCTTGAGGAATACGTCGATGGCGTAAGCAGGGTTATGAGTCTCCCCTGCGGCCACGAGTTCCACGTTGATTGCATGTAAGTCTTTCTCCTCTCTCAATGCATCACGAGCGTTGCAGCTGACGAAACCTAGTACCCCATGGCTCACTACGCGCCGCCGGACATGTCCGATCTGCAAAGGCGACGTTGTGCGATCGCTGGCTCGAGGTGGATCCTCCAGCTCTACCCCGCGGTACGAGCCTTACCGCGATGACAGCGACGAGGACGAGGACGACCTGGAGTCCCAAGTGGTAAACACTTTGAACGAGTCTCCAGCCGCTGGTCGTCCAATTTCTCCGGGAGCTACAACCGATGCCGACGTTGAACGTGGTGTCGCTTCTCCCATCGCCTCGCCGGCGCGAAGCTCGGGTACGAATGGCAGCTGGCTCTCCAATATTGCGGCGCGGCTTGGGATATCGTTGTCGCCCCCATCGTCAGAAGAAGATCGCGCGAGGTAGATCCTCTGCATTATGATCGTAATGAGCGTCTGGCGTTGTTCATGTTTGTACCTACCATTGGAGAGGAGGCTGTTCTGGTTGGCATCGGAAGGGGAGTCTTTTGGGGGCGTTTTATTTATAACTTTCCGCTTAGTGGTGTCGTGCGAACCTTAGTAATCCATCACCAAGTAATACATCTCCAGGATTAATGGTCCGTCTGATGATTCTATTGGTATTATATCTGTTGATCCTACTATCCGTAACGTTGATCGATCCATAAAATGATAATTGTTTGCGATCAAGACTCTTCGACTCACTTCGTTCCACTGCCCCTGGCTGTCTTCCCGTCTTATTACATTGCTCATTAGCCACTAGCTTGCCTACGATTTTACAAATGGAACTCTTCGCCTCGAAACTAGCATGATCACGGCTGCTTGTGTCGGTATACGAAGCTGAGGGTATAATTTGGAATCCATCGGCCTAAAACGCACGCGATATCTTCATGGTTACTCGAGTTATGCTACCATCACCCGGCTCCCGTGCGTTTATCCACCTTGCACAAAGCTGGCCGAATCCAGTCACTCTACATACCAACCCCTCTCCGCTCGGTATACTGTCATATCGGAATGGAATCGATATTGATAGGCTAGTAGTCCACTGGGGTTTTTACTATCCGTCGGAAGTTCTGGCATAGCTTAATTTGGATGCATGGATGTTGACCTCTCCCAGGTACCAGAATGGCGGTAGAATAGAGGGGACAATGAACAGCCTGCCGTTGAGCTTTCACGCATCCCACTAGCGACGGCAGTTTTTGACAGGGGCCCTATACAATGGCGGTCGCGGATTCATGGTGATTATGGATCGCTATATACAATAACAGATGCAGCTACCCTATTTCCCGCCAACTGTCACTCCTTTCGCCTTCCAAAGCTCGTATTTCTTCGAACATCGTATCGCAATGATTCTGCTCCCCAAGTTTGTGTGCAGCATAATTCTTGGGCTAAGGATTTAACACAGTAAGACGCCGGCACATAGCGATCGCTCGTAGGTGGCCGAAATGGCCAGTGATGGCCAGATGTGCTACCAGGAAGATGGAGAGGGATAAGGACAATGATGATCTGTTATTAAATTAGTCTTGTATGGGTTAAACTCCACGAGTTTAAGAAGTGGGGTTGGCGTTTACCTGTCACCAGGTCTCCGAGAAGACTCTGTTTCTGGATACTTGCTCCGTCCATAATAAGTCTTGACGAAGAAACTGTGCCAAACTATATCATAATAAAGGCTCTTGGTCGTTTAGGGCTGTAACTATCATGTTATTGCCTGTTAGTAGACCAAACCAGTTTCTAATAAACTAATTTTTAAAATATTTTAATATTTTAATATTACTTTTATCAGCTTCAATTTTAATACTACGAGACAAACCCCAAACCCGAAACACCTAAGAGGAGAGCGATGGAACGACGGTTCGACTCCGTCACGAAGTTCCCGGTCAGGGTTAGCACAAATAATCATAATAATCATGACTAACGTACTCCACAAGCGAGCGGCGCACACAAGTGAGTGGCGCACGCATCACGAATTCTATAACTCTAGAGGTTAATTTCACAACAATACAATTTATTAAACCCTATAGAACTACCCTAATTAGAAACCTCCCTTAATGGACACGTACGGGCAGTATGCGCGAGTGATTTACACATACTACACGTCCGTGGTGCACGAGTTTGTGGCTCTGTAGGTTGACCTGCAACCCTACCTACAATATCTATATCTGCTGTTTGTAGTCGATCTAGGCCCTCCTGGACTGTCAAAATACCTCCTTTAGCTACATACGACCTCCTTACTGCTCTCTTCTTCTTTTGTCTTTCATTTTCGGTCCGCAATTGCTTGTTTTCCTCCGTTAGAAGAGCCGCATTATGCATAGCCATTTGACAGCCTTTAACTAGCTGCTGGAACGCCTGATCTGTAGGACTTGATAAACCTGCTGTACGACGTTGAATGCGCCCCTTAATTGCTGTAACCTGAAGCTCTAATTGACTAGCATTATGAGGCGTTTCGGGTACCCAACAGTCTTGTAGGGCAGGAAGAAGCAGAGGTGGAGTTGGCGTCCGTAACTGAGTATTAAGCTTTGACAGCACTCGTTCTGGGTCGTACGGGACTAGACCTGTAGCTGCAAACCCACTACGGACCACATTAAGGGCCATAGACTCTTTGCGGGCCGAAAGGTAGGCTGTAAGGAAATCCGGTTTGTCAATATGGTTTAGTCCAACCCGCATATATCTTTCAATTTGTTGTCCGTATGACCGTTTTAGAACCGCAAAACAGCTAACGTCTAATGGCTGTAAGAGATGTGATGAATGCGGCGGCATGCAAAGCGTAATAATTGAGTGCTCGGAACAGAATAGGTCAAACTCTGGAGTCGAATGGCTCCCGTGTCCGTCGAGAATAAGAAGCCGATAAACCCCCTTCGTACGGTCCTTTGTATGCTTCTGAAAGACGTCCGTAAGCCAAGCAAGGCCTAGAGAATCGTCCGTCCACCCGTTTTCACTAACTGCAATTGTCCAGTCTAAAGGCAAAGTGTCTGTGTACCAAGTCGATATATGAACCTTGCCCTCAAAAATAACCATTGCTGGCAAGCTCCATCCGTCTGAAGATATTGATTCAATAACAGTAACCCATTCGCGGTTCCCTGGCTGTACGCAAACTGGCTTGCCAGCCCGCTCAGAACCTGTAATTACCTTCGCGGTCGTGACTACTCCCATTTGAAACCCAGTCTCGTCAAAGTTGTAGATGTCCTCCTCTTGAATCCCATATTTAGCAATTGTATTCCGTACAAGCCGAAACCAGTCCCGAATAATCGTAGGATCTTCGCATTTTGCCCGCTGATAGTCGTATTTATGGGTGTATTTTGATTGGAGGGAGTTGTGTCGTCGTACGAAATTATAAACCCAGTTCTGGCCAACTGTAGGAGTCTGATCCTGGTCTGCGTCAGTCCGTTTTTGAAGAAGTAGATTTGCCATTTGTCGAAAGGAATTAGCTCTAAGTGGTAGGCCTCGTTCCTCCATAGATAATATCCATTGGATAAGTGTTAACTCCTCAGTAGCTGTAAGTTTGAGGTTTGCGGACTGTAAATCGCGTCGCGCGGTCCGTCCTTTAACGCGCGCCCGCAGAGTGGACTCAGGAAGATCGTACGCGACCGCAGCACCTCTAACACTCGTAAAATGGCCGTTTTTATAGGCTTGGAGTGCAAGAGTCATTCGACCCTCTTTGTGGATTAATTGCAGGTCAATTGGTTGAGACATATTGATTTAAAGGATACTATACGCGTTAGAATTCGTGATGCGTGCGCCACTTACTTGTGTGCGCCGCTCGCTTGTGGAGTACGTTATTCAAATAGTCAAATATTACATAAGCATGATTACTCATAACGTACTTGACAAGCGAGTCGTATTTGCATGCGAGTCGTATCGCAACACACCAAATCTGCACTTTACGGACACTAATGACTATAATGGCTCAACCACAGAACACTCCGGCTAGTCAGATTGAAGGCCGAATTGATTTAGCTATTCAGGCCTTCCATCAAGGCTATTTTAGCAACCTTAAAGCAGCTTGTACAACCTACGATGTGCCATACACAACTGTCCGCGACCGCGTTAACGGACGCGTTGCTCGACGCGATTTACAACCTGCAAACAAAAAACTTAGCAACACAGAGGAGTCAACACTTGTCGAATGGATATTATCTATGGAGAAACGAGGTCTACCCCTTAGATCTGAATCTGTATGGCAAATGGCAAATCTATTACTCCAAAAATGGTCTGACGCGGTCTACTCTACCCCTCTTACAGTTGGCCAACGATGGGTTTACAACTTTGTAAAGCGCCACCCTTTCCTCCAATCAAAGTACACCCGTAAATACGATTATCAACGGGCAAAATGTGAAGATCCTACCGTTATTCGGGATTGGTTTCGACTTTTACAGAACACAATTGCCAAATATGGGATTCAGGAAGATGACATATATAACTTTGACGAGACGGGATTTCAAATGGGAGTGATTACAACCGCAAAAGTGATTACGGGTTCTGAGGGGGCCCATAAGCCCATTTGTGTGCAGCCAGGGAACCGTGAATGGGTTACCGTTATTGAGTCAATTGCAGCAAGCGGGTGGAGTGTGCCACCAATGGTTATATTTGAGGGAAAGGTCCATATATCAAGTTGGTATACGGATACCTTGCCTCGAGATTGGACCATTGCAGTTAGTAATAACGGGTGGACGGACGACTCTTTAGGCCTTACCTGGCTTATGGACGTCTTCCAGAAGCACACAAAGGACCGTACAAAGGGTGTTTACAGGCTCTTGATTCTTGACGGACATGGAAGCCATTCCACTCCTGAATTTGACCTGTTTTGCAAGGAGCACTCAATTCTCACACTCTGTATGCCTCCACACTCGTCACATCTTTTGCAACCACTTGACGTTAGCTGCTTTGCAGTTATGAAACGGTTATACGGAAAACAAATCGAGGGGTATATGCGGGTTGGAGTTAGTCATATTGACAAACCTGACTTACTTACAGCCTACCTTGCAGCCCGCAAAGACTCTATAACACCTAATGTGATCCGTAGTGGCTTTGCAGCCACTGGCATACACCCATACGACCCAGAACGGGTGCTCTCAAAGCTGAATACTCAATTACGGACACCAACCCCACCTCTACTTCTCCTAGACACTACCCAGGACCGTTGGGTACCTGAAACGCCCCATAATGTTAGTCAATTGGACCGTCAGGCTACTGCAATTAAGGAATCTGTTTAGCGCCGTACAGCAGGCTTCTCAAGCCCTACAGAGCAGGCATTCCAGCAGCTAGTAAAAGGGTGCCAAATGACTATGCATAATGCGGTCCTTCTTGCGGACGAAAACAAGCAGCTACGGGCCGCAAATTAGAGGCAAAAGAAGAAGAGAGCCGTGAGGAGGTCGTATATAGCTACGGGAGGTGTTTTAACAGTTCAGGAAGGCCTAGAGCGGGCACAAACAGCAAATATAGTAGTTGAGGCTAGGGTTACAGGTTAGCTAGCAGACCTGCAAATACGTGCACCACCAGCATGTAGTATGTGTAGATCACTCACACATACTGCCCGTACATGCCCATTAAAGCAGGTTCCTAATTAGGGTAACGTGCATGTATAACGAAAGTGCCAAACAAGCGAAAGTGCCAAAATATCGCGACTACCCCATAAGAATTGCGATAAATCCACCACAACAATATAAATTAATCAAAACTACTCGGAGTCCTCTTCCTCAGACCTGTCTATTACAATCTGACAAGTGCGCGCATTGTGTCCAGTCTCACCACACTTGCCACAGCGATGTGCATGGTTTTTTTTCCTTGGCTTCCGACCACTACTTGCCCTTATTTCTTGCTCTACTTGCTGCACAACATCCCTCTCGTCCTGTAGCTCCTGTGCTACCTGTTGACTAAGTGATCCTCCTTGCTGTAGTCGTGTTTTTTTAGCTCTCCGGCGCTTGCTTAGCACTTCATTTGCCTGTCACAGGTTTTGGTTCTCTGCTTTTAACAATGCTAATTGATGCATTATTTGCGATGCACCCTTTGTAAACTGGTCAACAGCTGCATAGATTGAGGTTGGAGAGCTATTTTGATGATGCGCAATTCAGTTTTTAATGAAAGTAGACTGTGATACAGCTTCAGTTGTGTTATTTGGTGTCTGAGAAACCCATGGTTGAGCGGTGTTTGGGCGAGAGGTTGGAGGTGTTGGCGTCTTAAACCTAAGGTCAAGTGTAGATATTACACTCTCAGGGCTAAATGGAAGAAGCCCAGCACCTCGGAACCCTCCCTGAATATTGCTTTCTGTCATTGCAATGTTAAATGCAGTGTGGAAGGCAGGAAAGAAGTCATCCTTAGTAATGTGAATAATATGAGCCCGCATCATATCTTCAATTTGCTGACCGTAAGCTCTCTTTAATGGGCCAAAACAGCCAACATCAAGTGATTGGAGTATATGGGAAGAGTGACCAGGCATACAAAGTGTAATAATGTTGTGTTCTTTGCAGTACTCCTCAAACTTGTCTGAGTGGTGGCTCTCATGACCATCAAGGACTAACAAGCGATAACCACCAACACTCCGGGGCTTTGTGTGCTTCTCAAAATGCTGAATCCAATCCATACCTCTCTCGTTTGTAGTCCAGCCATTTGCAGTAACAGCGATTACCCAATCTGCTGGAAATCCGCTATTCTCATACCAAGATGCAAGGTGGTTTTTACCTGCCACAATGACAAATGGCGGCACTGCCCAACCTTGAGAACTAACGCCTTGGATTACTGTAACCCATTCCCGATTGCCAGGTTGCACCTTTTTTGCCTTTGCCCGCCCATCTGAGCTCGTTACTACCGTTGCGCTTGAGATGACGCCCATCATAAACCCAGTCTCATCAAAGTTGTAGATATCTGCATTGTTGATGCCATACTTTAGAATTGTGTTCCATACAAGCTCAAACCAGCCACGAATGACTTCTGGATCTTCGCACTTAGCCCTCTGGTAGTCGTATTTTCGCTGGAAGCGTGTCCGGAGCTCTACATGGCGCTTAACAAAGTTTGAAGCCCAACGTGACCCGACGCGTGGCGCGTCACGTGTTGCAAGTAGTCAATTTGCCATATCTTCAACAATAGACAACTGAGGAGGGAACCCTTTAGCAGCTAAGTCAAGTATATACTGAACAAGAACTGATTCCTCTAGGTTACTTAATTTCCGTAAGTTGGCTTGGATATCGCGTCGTGAAGGTATGCCTTGTAAACGGTGACGTAGCTTGCGGTGGTCTACGGAATAGATCCTAGCTGCAACTCGAAGGTGCAAATTTGGGTCGCTTTGCATAGCTTGGATAGCTAGCACTAATTTGCTTTCATCATTTTTATGGCGCATGTTTTGTTGTGGAGGAATTTAACATTTAGTTGGGGGGGTTGATCACCGCATGATTTTGGCACTTTCGCTTGTTTGGCACTTTCGTTATACATGCACATTAGTTTTAGAGGTTTTAAATAATTAATTTGTTGAGTTATTAACCTGTAAAGTGCAGATTTGGTGTGTTGCGATATGACTCGCATGCAAATACGACTCGCTTGTCAAGTACGTTAATCATGAATATTCATGATTATCACATGATGTTAGAATCATGTGGCCTAAGAAAAGGAAACCAAATATATATTAATCTATCTAAATACTACTTAAAGTATTAATTTAGCTATAAATTCCTCTTCTAGATCATCTTCTTATAGGAGCACTAGTAGCAGGGATTTGTAAATAGCGCCTAGCTATAGTAGCTGTTACGATTATAGCTTACAGCTTATTACAGTTGTTATGGGTGCAGCCTTAGCCACCAAGGCTACAACCGCTAAGCGGACAACTGTATATTACAAGGAATAGCCTCACCTTCCTTCTTTCTTCTTCTTCTTCTCTCTTTAGATTTAATCTAGCTTATTATTCTCCGGACTGGCTTCTTGACCTCCATGACCATTGTAACATAAGATTGAATCTCACCTTTCTTTTGCTCTCTGAGCCTGAACCTTGATCTGAAATTCGAATTCCCTTCTTTGGAAACCCTACAACCATATCTTCAAGTCGATTCCAGAACACACTAGAACACCACAGAACACCACAGACTTCATAGATCAGACCTTTCACAACGCTCCCTCGACAAGAAATATAGCTGTGAGGGGAGTGCGCTCCTCTCTACAGTCGACAAACTGCATAATAGGGCCTTTGGCGATACGAGTCTGATCTACTGAATACGAAAACTGAAAGAATAGCAAAGCTGCTATGGCACACACGGCCAAAGAAAAAGCCAAGATGGCTGACCGAAACCCAGAAGACTATGAGGCTATAAATGAGAAAACAACCTTAGCAGATGAGTCTGAGAAGAGAGATGAACTTCAAGATGACTTCCTTGAAGCCGAAGAAGATTTCAAGAGGATGGGCAAAACAGCTCAAGAAAGACACCAGTCTATACTATCAAACGGCAACCAGAAGAGGACTTGGAATGTCAACACCTACACTGAATTCCAAAAGCTGTCACCTAGCAGCCAAGAGTACACCTGGTCAATGTTGAAAGCCATTATGAAGGACTACTTCATCGTCAGTCAAGCTTCTAATGCTACTATTGCAGAGCGAAATGATGCTATTCTACAGCTCCAAGAAGAAATTCAAGACAAGGATGAAAAGATTACTGAACTGCAAGGCATTCAAAAATATCTTGAGAATACAGCTGTTTTTCGCAATGCAGCACCTCGCCAGTCTGCTTGCATTCCAGATCCTCCTATTCTTACAGATGGGATTGAACCAGCTTTTGAAGACTGGGTTGTGAAGATCCGACTCAAGCTGGAAGCCAACATCGACCACTTCCCAAATGACAAGATGCAGATGAGTTATCTCCAAAGCAGACTAGGAGGACTCGCAGTTCGCCATGTGAACCCAAGGCTTCGCATTACCTCACCAAACATGCTTCAGTCAGCAGAAGAAATCCTCCAACTCCTTGAGAAAGTGTTTAGCAACCCCGATAGGAGACACACTGCACAAACTGAGTATCGCAAGTTATACCAAGGCAAGAATACCTTCACAACATTCTGGGCTGAATTCCAGAGACTCACTGCAGAGCTGGACTACTCAGAAGAGACCTTGCTTGACGATCTCTGATTTAAAATCAACCAAGGCATGCAGAAAGCCCTTGTTGCAGAAGTGGTAGCTACCACCCTACATGAATTCGCGAAGAAATACATGCTTGTGGACCAAAACCTACAGAGAATTCAAGAAAAGGAGAAGAGAATGAAGCCACAGCCGTTCGCCTACCAGAAGCAGAGTGGCCAGAGCCCTACTGCTAGTACTGCTGTTGAAATAGTGGCACTCCAGAAGAAGCTCTACCACCCTCCCCACCAAGATCCTGAGAAAGAATCGCTCATGAAGCTTGGCAAATGCTTCCATTGCCACGAAAGCGGCCATTGTGCTCACGACTGCCCTCAGAAACAGAAAGGCAGACTCAATGAGATTTCTGCTACTGAGGATCCTACCCAGTATGAGTCGGGAAAAGAATAGCCTCTAGAAAAGACGTCGCTACAGGTTCTACAGCAAGAATTGCCTCCTCTGCCTTATCATTATCCCATTTTGACTATGACACTCCGTTCTTAGCTACCTGCAGAATAGGAAGAAATCAAATTGTCATGCAAGCCTTAATGGATAGCGGTGCAACAGGTGGAGGAAGCTTTGTGAATGCTGTTGACGCAAAACAAATTTGTGAAATTGAGAACATATCTCCTATCCAACTTATAAAACCAAAGAACATTGAAGGATTTAATGGAGTTGCAGCATCTACAGTTACGCATGATATATACCCTCGACTACAAATTGGAGATCACATTGAAAGTCTATGCCCTCTATTCATTACTACTCTTGGGAAACATTCTATCATTCTTGGGAAAGCTTGGATGAAGCAGCATGGAGTCACACTCAATATGGTAAACGACCAAGTCATCTTTACAAAGGGTCACTGCCAGAACACTATACCAACAGACACTTTAAAAGTGAAAACTGCAAGTCCCCAAGCTGAGAAGCAAATACAAGATAAAGAAGCTCTGAAGCCAGCCCTCCAACCTCATTATAAGAACAAGAACACATGCACTGTTACAATGATTGGAGCTGCACCATTCAATATGCTTCGGAAGCAGAAAGGAGCTAAGGTTTTTGCAGTATCATTTAAAGATATACTCGCTGCCTTTGCCTTTGCCTTTGCCTTTGCCTTTGCCTTTGCCTTTGCCTTTGCCTTTGCCTTTGCCTTTGCCTTTGCCTTTGCCTTTGCCTTTGCCTTTGCCTTTGCCTTTGCCTTTGCCTTTGCCTTTGCCTTTGCCTTTGCCTTTGCCTTTGCCTTTGCCTTTGCCTTTGCCTTTGCCTTTGTCTTTGCCTTTGTCTTTGACTTTGCCCCTTGATAGTATGGAGGAAGGCGATGATATCGTCGTTCTTGCTGCTATAGCAGCAGCGATACATTACCGCCGCTATCGACAACAGCGCAAGGAACAACGCCGTCAAACTGCTTTTGAGTATAAGCAGTTTGACTTCGACCTTGATTCAAGAAGAACACATATTATTACACATAGCATCAACAGCTTCTGGTGTCATTGAGGAAGTATTGATGATATAGGCGACCCCATTTTCAGATGTTTCGGGGTATTCTGGTAAATCTGTTGTATAGTTTACCTTCCTTATCCAGGTTGCTTTGTTGCTAACATGGCTTGAAATAACTGTGGTTGTTTCGATCTTAATGCATTAGTAATGCATTAAGTATATATTAGGCGGCTCTTACCTTCTCCCCCTCTTCTTCTTCTTCAGTGACAAGTGGTTCTTCCCGATATCTTTCATCCTCAAATTGAAGACTACTATCAATACTAACAGTATTAGACCATAGGTCTAGTTGAGGGAGGTAGTGAAATTATCTCATCCATTGTGAATAATGCATTAGCAATGAATTACTACTGTTGTTGTTGCCATGCCCTACAGGTTTTACGTTGGTAGGAAATTAGGGCCCTATTATATACCATCTTTAGCCCTACCTGACCATATCATGTGATGCTACGCGAGCTTAGCTGACCAACGTGCAAGGTTTAGTCATAAAAGTGGAGCATTTTCGGGTCAGCTGAGCTAACCCCTGATGGTCTGCTCACCTGTGTACTCTCTTTTGCATTTTCGCTTTTTTCGACTTTTTTGCCGGGGTCGTCACCCATTTTCGCTTTTTTTGGCCCTATGTACCTATGTACCCCTACCCAAACTTTAACATTGAATAACTTTTGTACCTAATGAGCTACGGACTTCATGTCAGTTTTATTGAATTCGCGCGATTGAGCTCTAGGGTTTTCATCATATAAACTAATTGATGAGACAAGTGGATCATGTGTTACAGTGCACCTTTGAATTTTCGACTTTTGAGACCTTTACTAGGTAGGCGGCCACCATCGCAGCCGGTTTTGAATTTTCGACTTTTTCTGAATTTTTGCCGGGTAGGTCGATTATAGCGTTTGGTACCTTATGCGAAGCCATGGTGTGGGCGGCATGGGCGGCATGGGGCGGTGTTGGTGTGGGCCGGTGCTGGGAGCGGTGTCGCACTTTCGAATTTTCGGCCCTATGTACCTATGTACCCTCACCCCACCAAAATCTGACCCACATAAGTTCAACATTGAAAACTAAAGAGCTATCGACTCAGGAGCGATTTTATGAGTTTCGCGCGTTTCCAGAGCACGTAAATATGTATATATACAATTTGGTTGGATCGCTAGTTGGTGCAGTACAATTGATTGAATGGCTGGCTTAGGTACATACCACATGTACTCACCACACAGGTGCAATTACATTTTCGCATTTTCGGCCCTATATATCTATGTACTCCTCCCAAGCTGGCCCAACTTGTCCAACTTCAACATGGAATAACTGTTTTACCTAAAGAGCTATCGACTCGGGGGTTGCTTTATACATTTTGCACGCTTCGGGCGCACTAGAATGCCCATATAAAGTATGTTGTAAAGTCACAGACTGGTGCAGGGCTGGCGATTGAAAGTATAGCACACGCGTAGATTGTGTAAGTTCCTTTTTGTTGTGGTTCAGCCACGTCAAATGCCTCACAGTCAAACCTTCTGTCTTCCCAACCCGGTGCTTCTTTAACCCTAATGCTGTTTGAGTCTGTTCCTGTCCGCTATTTATTACTGCATCTCTGCGCAAATAGAAGTCCTTAAAACCCCAGGTTTTTGCACACCTAGGCTAGGCCTCGTTTGTCTCTGCCCGAATTAGCTAGTTTTTCGCTATGCGGCCGGAACCTTAAGTAGTTTCCTTTTCGGCCTCGTATATAGTCTAGCATAGCAAATACAATCACTGTTATCTCTAGGGGTTGGGCTTTAGTTATACTATACCTAACCTTCGTGATTCGCTAATTACCAAACGACCAAACAACAACTGCACAAAACAACCCCTATACAAACAACAATATGGCGTGGGTCATGGACCCGAAACGACAGCACGCCCGGCTCGACCACCTGCTCCAGACAAAAGCTTTCGAGGACGTCAACCTCCAGCCTAGCATGACTACCCGCGAGTATGCCCGCAAGGCCCTGAAGAGGTGGTACAAGTGGAATGAGGGCTGCAAGGTCGTTCAACAAGGTACCAGATACCCTGGGCTTGGGCTTGATCTTGGAGCTTGCCTATCCAAAGGTTCCAAGAGCTTCGATCTTTGAGGATAACTCGATAGAGTGACGTGGCGCTTAGCGACTCCATTGTTGGGCTCTACTTCTGATTCTGAAGGAGAGTACTCGTTTGATTCATATGATCGGTGAGCAGAGAAATGATGCTTAACTGCTTGTAGGTTTTGAAAATTCTTGCGGATATACCGGGCTCATAACTGTCACATATAACTGTGCTCGCGATCACGTGAATGTGTAATGAATTGAATACTCTGGTCTCTACGTAATGTGGGTGTAAGGACGCAGGGCACCGTATCACGAGAAGTGGCATATGGGAGTGCGAGTCGGATATGAGTCGGTGCAATCCTATAGGTCTACTACGAAGGATACAAAAAAGATGAAGGTGTAACCCTGTATGACTGTTCCCTTAAAATACCCGAAACCGCTCCGACTCAGCTAGCTCCCTGTTTGCCTAAGGCTTCCTTACGTTATGTGCCTAAGGCTGTCAGTCGCGACTGACCCGTAACGGCCCCGAGTCTCGATGACGCCACGTGACGGCCGTAACTACCCCGAGTAAGGAGGCATCCTTACACTACCCCCCGCCTTGAGAAGGTGCTTTGTCCTCAAAGCACGCAAGCCGAGTAGCTGCCGCGACGAGCCCTTGTTTGGGTTGGTGGGTGAGGTGCGGGCGCCAAGACTAGAATGCCCTTTGTTTGTCCAGAAGGCTGATGGTAGGCGGCCGTATAGGCACTAGAAGTGGTCTGAATCCGTTTGCGCAAAGTCGCGTCCTTGTTGTGTACGCGGCGATTAGTGTTGCGAGGGTCCGTATTGGTATTGAATAGGGTCCGCGCGGTATGTGTCGACATAGAATTTCGATGTAAGGGGGAAATTTCGCGCTAACCTGATTCGGACGGCTTTGTTATAAGCCAGAATATGAATTCGAGCTTCGCCCACAACTTGTTGTTTTCTTCACAACAACGACGCTGACCCCCTCCCGAGACAGGTAAGTGGCCCTTCCGATGGTACAGCTGGATGCTAACAGGTTGTTTTTAGATACAAAAACACAACGAACGATTTGGTAGGTGACGGAACCGCGCTGGCGCGGTGGTGATAACTTGGGTTGGGCTGACGGGAAATCGCAGATTTCCAATTTGAAGATGCCGGTTCCCCCTCCTCCCGGCGCCCTCACTGTGGCTTTCCGCCAGCAGTGTATGCGCTGCGTGCGTGCCAAAGGGCGCAAGAAGGACGGAGATCCCGCCGTCTCGTGTGTGTGGAGCTTGGAAAGCTCCAAGTGTGAGCGCTGCGTGGCCCAACACGCAACGTGTGTTCCGGTGGGTTCTCGTTTGGTTTTCGGTTTTGTGGTTTGTCTGTCTGCCCGTCGCTGACCTCTGGAGATAGATCTCCTGGTTTGCTGGCCCGGAGTACCAGAAGCTCCTGGCTGCCGAGGCAGCAACCCCTCCCGTCCCCGCCGCCATCAAGGCCGCTGCGGCGGAGATTGGGCGTGTGGTCACATTGGCCACCGCCAATATGCCGAAGTTCCGCTCCCCGGCCGAGCTTTCGGCCTATATGGAGAGTTGCGCCCTCCGCGCCGCCATCGAGGACGGCCTGGAGGTAAGTTTTCCGTTTCCCTTGTGTGTTTTTGGTTCTCGCGCTGACGACCGTAGCGGGTCCGCCAGGCCGTGGCCGTCGTGGGCCAGAAATCGGCCCTGATCCTGGTGAACCAGGAGAAGGAGATCGCTGCCCTTGATGGGGTGGCTTCTGCGGTGGATGCGGTGGGGGAGTTGGTGGAGAGGATCCCCGACGTCCTCGCCGCGGCGGCGAAGGTGGGCAGTGGTGGGGGGAAGAAGAGGAAGAGGGGGGCGGAGGAGGTGGCGGAGGAGGGGGTGACCGTCGACCTTGGGTGATAGGCCCTGTGTCGGAGGGAACTCGGGCGTGGTCTTTCGCGTGGGGTCACTTCGACCCTTCGTCTCTCATGGTGGTAGCCGCTTGTTGCGACGCCGGTGAGACGTTTGGGAAGGATGGCTTCCGCAAGGGCTACGGCTCTGAGGGTGCCCTGGCTTAGAGGGTGTTTAGTTTAGTGTTGTAGGTAGCAACGACGCTGTTTTCCTCTGCTTTGCCGTGCCTCTCGTGATCGTAGCTTGGTTTGCCTGTCTCCCATTCCGTGATCCAGCCGGGTAGGTCCTGCGGCGGTCCTGGCAGGTTTGGGTACTCCGCGTGGAACTCCCGGATTTTGTAGGGGGAGTTCTTAAAGTTTGAGGCGGGGTACCATTCCGGGTCCGGATCGTATCCGACCCAGGATACCTGGTATTGAAGTTGTTTTCGCCGGATCCTTACGGCGAGGATCTTTTCGACCTCCCACTCCTCTAGGCCGTCTACGACTTTGCTGCTTGGCTCAGGCGCTGCTTGACCGGGCAGCGGGTTATTCGGAGCCTTGATGAGTACGTCTGGAGAGAAGACATCGTGTATTTGGGAACCCTTCGGTAGGTCTAGTCGGAAGGCGTGTCCGATTTGTTCCAGTACCGTATAGGGTCCGACCCATTGTTGCCCCAGCTTACGGCTAGGGCGGTGATTTTTCAGATTCTTGGTCGATAGGTAAACCTTGTCTCCTACGTCCCAGTCAATGGCTCGTCGGCGTCGATTCGCGTATTTAGACATATCCTCTTGTGCTTTGGCCATGTTCTCCTTTGCGTAAATCCATGCGGAGTGCATGCGGTTTGCTACTGCTTTGGCTTCCTTCTGGTTCATGACTTCCCTAGGGGTCGTGGCTTTCAGGGTTTCCCAGTCCCAACTGGTGCGCGGATCAGTTCCGTACTTGAGTCGGTAGGGGGTCATTCCGATCGAGGCATGGGGAAGGGTCATTTGCACCCGATCCATGATGGGAATGAGCTCGCTCCAGTTATCCTGGTAATGTGATACGAAGGGCCTCAGTCTCTGATCGATATACCGATTCATGATTTCCGTCTGCCCGTCGGTCTGCTTGTGATAGGCTGTCGACAGCTTAATCTTGACCCCTATGATTCGGCAGAACTCTCGCCAGAAAGCTGATATGAATTGGGGTCCGCGATCACTAATGATCGACTCCGGGGTGTGTCCGAATCGATATATCCATTCGATGAATAGCTGCGCCATTTGGCGGGCATCGGTGGTCTTATGACACGGTATGGACACCGAACCCTTACCGAGTCGGTCCATGAACACAAGGATGCTGTCGAATCCGTGTTTATCCTTTGGGAATTTCTTAAAGTCCATCGTTAGGTGTTGCATGGGGTATTCGGGTACCGGTAGGGGGTGTAAGAAGCCTTGCTGCTTCGTCACGCTAGTGTGAGAAAGTCGGCACGTCACGCAGTTGCGCACATATCGGAGGCAATCCGCTTCCATTCCGACCCAATGATACTTCGGGGCGAGTAACTGATAAGTTTTCCTGCCACTAGGGTGGGCTACTGATACTTGATCGTGTGCTTCCCGTATGAGTTTCGTACATAACTCGGTGTGCCGGTTTACGCACAGTCGACCTTTGTATAGCAAGAGTTGGTCCTTCATTGTAAACCCGTTAGGTAGGGGGTCTTTCGCGCGAGTGTCGGTGAACGACCTCCTATTATCCGCGCAGAGCGCTTCTATCAGGTCAAAGGGGACCTGGGTGTTCGGGGCGTCCATCGCATTGATCGAGGCCACGTACGTTTGTGCTAATTCGGCACTGATTCGGGAGTGTAGTCGGGCTGGGCCTAACAGCACCCTCGCACGGCTGTCGAGTTTGACCTTCTGTTGCGTAATCAGGTCTTGCTCTCTTCGGCTCAGTATATCTGCCTTCTGATTGTTCTTGCCAGCAGTATACGCAATAGAAAAATTGAAGTCGGAGAGTAGCTCCATCCACCGAACCTGCTTCGCCGTGAGAACCTTCGTTGACATGAAGTATTCCAGCGATCGGTGATCTGTATAGACGTCGATTCGGTGGCGTACCGATGCTAATTCTGGCCTCCATTTTGCGAACGCTTTGACGATGGTGAACAGTTCCTTGTCGTGGATCTCCCAATTGATCTCATGCCCAGATAGGATGTGACTGTAGAAGCTTACAGGATACCATCGCTTGTCGGGGTGTTCCTGAGAAAGGACACCGGCTACGACTCCATCAGAAGAGTCTGTTTCCAGCTTCGTAGGCAATTCGGGGTTGAAGTGGTGGAGCGCCTGCACGGCTAAAAGCTGTCGGCGCATTTCTTCAAAAGCGTTCTCACATTCGTCAGTCCACAGGAACGGTTCTGAGGGGCTGGTGATAGTGGTGAGAGGCTTGGCTATTTTCCCGAAATTTCTGATAAATTGGCGGTAGAAGCCGCAGAATCCAAGGTAAGACTTCACGCCTGTGACAGTTGTTGGCCGGATCCAATTCCGGAGGGGTTCGATCTTCTCGGGATCCGCTTCGACACCGGTAGTAGTCAGGATATAGCCTAAATACTTTGTCCGGGTTACGTTGAACTCGCATTTCTTAATGTCGGCTTGTAGTCCTGCTTCTCGAAGCCGTTGGAGGACCTTATGTACGTGGTCCATGTGTTCCGCGGGGTCCTCGGAGTAGATTAGGATGTCGTCTAGGTAGGCAGTACAGAAGTCGTCCAAGTATTGCATAAGAACGTCGTTCATATACCTCTGATAGGTTGCGGGGCCGTTCATTAGGCCAAACGGCAGCACTTTGCATTTGTAGGATCCATACCGAGTCCGGAAGGTCGTGTACTCCTCGGAGTCGGGGTCCATTCGTATACGATGGAAGGCTTGCCTAATGTCTAGCTTCGTGAAGATTTTTGCTTTCGACACCCGTCCTAGTAGTTCGTCGATACGCGGGATAGGGTAGGGGTCGTTACGGGTAAGTCCGTTCAACTTCCGGTAGTCGATACAAAATCTCAGTTTGCCATCTGCCTTCTTCACGAACAGTATAGGGGAGGCAAACGGGCTATTGCTATTGACTATAAAGCCCTTCTCAAGGTTCTCTAATAGGTATTGCTTAGTCGCCTTAAGCTCTTCGGTGCTTTGTCGGTATAGTGGCGAAAAGGCATTTGGTAAAGGGGCTTCTAGTTGTATCTTGTGATCGTATATGCGATGCGGGGGAAGCTGATCAGATTCCGACTTCGAGAAGACATCGGAATAGTTGCGGTGCATATGCGGAAGCTTGTCCCGAATGAGGCGGAGCGTTTCCTCGTCCTCGGCCGCTTCCCTCTCTCGGATGATCTGGTCGATCTCGTAGATGCTTGTCGTAAAGAACTCGGAGTCGCTTCGCATCATCTCATAGTGGAAAGCGTTTGCGCCAATCTCGCAAATTTGGACCGGCGTGAAGCTGCGTACCAGGGTCTGGCGTCGGGAAAGAGAGAAGACTCCGCTCCTCCCATGATTCTTTCTCTCATATGCGGATGGTCCGTTTCTTGGAGGTTTCGCCTCCACTTGCCCTAAGGGTCTGTCTTTATAGGTTTCCACGGGCGAGGCTCGTGTCCTTGGGGTTTTGGGGTGCGGGTGGGTCGTTTCAGTGTCTCGCACCGAGCTCGGTGGGGTGATCATAATAGCGTCACGATGGGCCGTTATCACTTTCATTGGTATCGAGCGTCCGCCCTCACGTCGTCTGTCGTCATGGTCGATGGCATCGTCCCGCCGGTTCGCATCCGATTGATGGGCGGGGTGACGTATAGACAGTTCACGCGAGTGGTAGGGCAAGGTGATCTCTTTGCTCCAGCTAGGAGTAGGCGGGTACTCCTTTGGCCATACTAGCCGGCTCTTTGCAGAGTCGAGTAGGATTCGGAAGCGGCTAAAAAGCTTCTTCCCAATTATCACATCTTGCGCTCCGAGATTTAGGAGCACAAAGGGGCAGTTATATATTCGGCGTCCTTCGACTGTCAAGTGTAACCGAATATACTCCGATACGTAGCTTTGGATATTTCGCTGAAATCCACGTATGGGTACAGAGTAGGGCAGTTTCCGTATAGGGCTCTGAAGCGCTTTCGACAACCGTTGCGCGAAAGGCTTATTAATGACGAGGTAGCCATTTGCTCCTGTGTCTGCGAGTGACTTCGTTTGCACCCCGAGTCCGTTCATACTCAGGGTTGTATCAACGAGAAATTGGGAGCCTCCCAAGAGCTCTCGTAAATCCAGTCCTTGCAGATCACATTTGCGTAGACCTAGGAAGGAGCCTTTCCCTAGGCCTCGTCGTTTTCCTCCAGGGACGCATCCGACTGGTGGGCGACTGCTTCCTCCCAATTATCTTCGTCCTCAGGGGCTTCGCGGTCAATCTCCTTGACGGTGGGGTTGAGCGGGCATTTGTCTTGGAAATGGCCCGGCTTGCCGCACTTGAAACAGTTTCCGGACGTAGTCGGCACGGCGGTCCGCACGCGGCCTGTAATGTCCGGCTTGGGGGCGGTGGCTGTGAAAGGAGTCCTCTGGAAGGAAACCAGAGGGCTTCTTGTCTGCCTCGGTGGCTGGGCCTTTCCGGGGTCCACGGGCGTGAACCTGGATGAGCTCAGGCGGGCGGGTCCTCGGGAGCTCGACTCGCCGCTCTTGGACGGGAAGCTCAACTCGTTGTTCCGGCGCCGCTCCTGATCGAAGGCGGTGAGTTCTCGGACCATGGTGTGGTAGTCTCCCTTCCATTGACTTTTGATAACCGCCACGCGGCTACGGAATTGAGGGGTCAACTTGTTCCACATGTACCGAAACCATTCTGACTCGGTGACCTGTCCTGTAATAGCTGCACTTTGGAAGCGAGCTTTGAACTCTGAGAAAGTCTCGTTTGTATGTCCTTTCTCTCCCATTTGGAGGTCGTCGAAGAGGTTCCGGGCCTGTTCCGTTTCGTTGCCAGTGAGGTAATATGAACCCAACAGGTCCATCATCTCGTCGGCACTCCGAAACCCGTGTGTCGCGGATAGGTATTGGGGTTCGA